AAAGAGAGACAATGAGAGAAAGAAGAGACAATGAGAGAGGGAGAGAGAATGAGAGAGAGAAAGAAAGAGACAGAGAAAGAGTGAGAAAGAGACAGAGAGAGAGGGAGAAGAGACAATGAGAGAGAAAGAGAGAGGGAGAGAGAAAGAGACAATGAGAGAAAGAGACAATGAGTGAGAAAAAGTGTTAGAGAGGAAGAGAGAGAGAGACAATGAGAGAGAGAGAGAAACCAAAATGAGAGAGACAATGAGAGAAAGAGAGAATGAGAAAGAGAAAGAATGAGAGAGGGAGAGAGTGTGTGTGTGAGAGAGAAAGACAGAGAAAGTGAGAAAGAGACACAGAGAGAAAGACAATGAGAGAGAGAATGAGAGAGAGAGAGGGAGAAGAGACAATGAAAGAGAACGAGTTAGAGAGGGAGAGAGAAAGAGACAATCAGAGAGAAAGAGAGTTAGAGAGGAAGAGAGAGTGTGAGAGAGAAAGACAATGAGAGAGAAAGAGAATGAGAGGGAAAAAGTGAGAAAGAGACAATGAGAGAAACCAAAATGAGAGAGAGAATGAGAGAGTTAGAGAGAAAGAGAGACTGAATGAGAGAAAGAGAGAGAGGGAGAGAGAGACACAGAAAGAGAGAATGAGAAAAAGAATGAGAGAGGGAGAGAGAGTGTGAGAGACAGAGAAAGTGAGAAAGAGACAGAGAAAGACAATGAGAGAGAGAGAGAATGAGAGAGAGGGAGAAGAGACAAAGAGAGAACGAGTTAGGGAGGGAGAGAGAAAGAGACAATCAGAGAGAAAGAGACAATGAGTGAGAAAGAGAGTTAGAGAGGAGAGAGTGTGAGAGAGAAAGACAATGAGAGAGAAAGAGAGCGAGAGGGAAAGAGTGAGAAAGAGACAATGAGAGAAACCAAAATGAGAGAGACAATGAGAGAAAGAGAGAATGAGAGAGTTAGAGAGAAAGAGAGTGAGAGAAAGAGAGAGAGGGAGAGAGAGACACAGAAAGAGAGAATGAGAAAGAGAAGGAGAGAAGGAGGGAGAGAGAATGACTGAATGAATGTAATAAGGCAGCTAAAATCAGATTCAGAAGCTGTCTATTTTGGAGGATGGACAGATGTCCGCCTGATCTCGTTCCCATCCTACCCGTCGTTTCTCCATGTTTTTCCTTGCCTGCTTTATGTGATTGATGGGGCAGCTTCCTCTGGGCAGGAGGTTCATTTTATGACCTAAATAAATCACATTAAATAGCACATTGTCGGAAAACATTTGGGGGGGGGAAAGAAAATTGTATCCTCCTCCTGAACATGGCTTGGGTAAGAAGATGGATTGAAATCTCTCTCCAGGAGGCATGGGGGGGCGGGCGCAGAGATTTTTGGTACCAGTTCTCCGAACCACCCGCCGCCATCGCTACCGGATCGGGCGATCCGGTCCGAACCGGAAGCATTTCACCCCTGCTACAAACCTTTCCAGGTTTGAAAAACGCTGCTACAAGTAATCCTTGACTTACGACCTCAGTGAAGGGCGGAATTTATGTTGCTAAGTGAAAAATGTGCGAAGTGACTTTTGCCCCGTTTTACGACTTTTCCTGCCGCATTCGCTAAGTGAACAGTTGTTAAATGAGTCACATGGTTGTTAAGTGAACCTGGCTTCCCCGTTGACTTTGCTTGTCAAGAAGGTCGCAAAAAGGGGGAATCTCGTGACCCCGGGACACTGCAACCCGTCATAAGTACACGCCAGTTGCCAAGTGTCTTAAATTTTGACCACGGGGATGCTTGCGACGGTTGTAAGTGTGGAAAAACGGTCATTATAAAGTTCCTTGTAACTTTAAACGGTCACTAAAATAAATGGCGGTAAGTCGAGGTGAGGCTACCTGTAATTGGTAAGCTTGGAGCAAGTAACAGAGTTGGAAGGGACCTTGGAGGTCATTTAGTCCAACCCCCTGCTCAGGCAGGAAACCTGTACTAGGGATTCGAACCGTCGAACTGCCAACCTTTCTGATCGACAAGCTCAGTGTCTTAGCCACTGAGCCACAAGAGGCCCTCCTCCAGGTAAGATGGAGGATTGGGAAGAATAGATTCTTTTTAACGGGGTATTTTATTTCTCTGCTTGCGTCCGTAAGGAATTTTGGCAAAGAAAGGCCGCATTTCTTGCAACTTATTTCATTATTTCGTAGACCAAATGAGTGACCGAAAGGGCAGAGAACTGGCAAATTTATTAGCTCGTAAAACTGCCGCTGTTACATTTGGGGCCGAAAATTATTGTTTCCTTGAGTCAAAGCTCGCTGCAAATAAATGCTGGCTCTGGCTTTTGCAATGCTAACACATGCCTTTCAGTTCTCATTACTTTTATCCTTTTTCCCTCTCCTCCTAATAAAGACGGAGGCCTCTATAATACTGCGAGAGACACAAGGGACATGAAATTTTAAAAAAGATCTACGATAGCTGGGATGAGCAGGCTGGAGTTGATCGTTTGCTGGTAGCTGGCCAGCAAAGAGCCAAGGACCTTTTGAGATTCGAAGGAAAAACATGTATATTCCATTCTATTGACCTTGCTTCTCTCTCTCTCTCTCTTAAGGAAAAATTTGTAAAAAGAGATTTAAAAAAAACTTGACAACTGATAAAAAAAGAAAGAGAAGAAAGGGTAGAAAAGAGACGGAGAAGAAAGACAAGAGGTGCAAAATGGAAAGATAAAAAGAAAAAAGAGGTCGTTTCCAATTTTCTTGGAAGCGGACACAAGCGTAGTGATAAAATTATCTCTCGCTCTGTGGTTACAAAAGGAAAAAAGACCTCTTTTTTCTGTTATTGTTGTGGCCCGTCAGCGGCCTGTGCAGCTAGTAGCTGATTCCGACAGCGAGGAGGCTGGTGTGGTGCTGCGCCAGGGGCCTGTGCAGCTGGCGCTCGAGTCGGACAGTGAGGAGGCTGGAGAAGATGTGGTGCCAGAGGCCTTCAGAACCTCCAGAAGCTCCTTTAAGTGAAGAGGATGAAGAAGAGGAGCCTCTTCTCAATGCACGAGCACGCAGAGCTGCCAAAAGGCAGGAGTGGCTCCTCAGGAGGAGGTCTCCTCGAGAGTAAGGCTTGGGGCTAATTGGCCATTCCCTTAGCCTATTTAAGGAGGAACGCCGACTGAAGCAAACTGTAGGGAACAACTTTAGTTCATTCTCCTCCGCGTCTGGATTCTCTGCAAATTGCTTCTGGGCTTTCTGCCAACTCTAGTAAGACTGTGATTACCTTATCTCAGAATTCTTGTAGGCTGTTAAAACAGTTCATTAACAGCCTTTGGTTGAAAAAGACTGAGTTATTTGAGTAAAATAAGCTTTGTATAGAGTTTTGTGTGTGCTGCGTTCTTTGGGGTCCATAGCTGGGGCAGAACAGTTATCTACAGGTAGTCCTCAACTTACGACCACAATTGAGCCCAAAATTTATGTTGCTAAGTGAGAAATTTGTTAAGTGAATTTTGCCCCCTCCTTTTATGACTTTTCTTGTCACATTTGAATCACGGCAGTTGTTAAATGAGTCACACGGTTGTTAAGTGAATCTGGCTTCCTCATTGACGTTGCTTGTCAGAAGGTCATAAAAGGGAATCACATGACCCTGGGCAGTGGGGAAATCTGAACCGGTTTACTACCGGTTCGCTGGCCGCGCATGCGTGCCATGCGCCAAACACGCGCAGTGCGCACCAAATGCGAGCTGCGCGCACAGTACTCACCAAAAGGATGCTTGGGAAGGTAAGTAGAACAGCGCGGTGTGATCAGCTGTGGTGCGCGTGGGAACCTTTTTTAAAACTTTGTAAAAGCATTTTTTCCTACCGGCTCGGGCGAATAGGTAGTAAAAAATGCTTTAAAAAAGTAAAAGAAAAGGATCCGGTGATCACGCGGCACAGCTGCGATCGTCTGAGCCTTTTTTTTTTCTTTTTTAAAGCATTTTTTTACTACCTATTTGCCCGAACCGGTAGGAAAAAATGCCTTTAAAAGATTAAAAAAAAGGCTCCGATGATCACAGCTGTCCTGCGCGATCATCGGAACCTTTTTTTTTTTACCTTTTAAAAGCATTTTTTCAAACCAGCTCGGACGAATAGAATAGGTAGTAAAAAAAATGCTTTAAAAAAGTAAAAAAAAGAATCCGGTGATCGCGCGGCACAGCTGTGATCATCGGATTTACTTTTTAAAAGCATTTTTTACTACCTATTCGGCCGAACCAGTAGTAAAAAAATGCCTAAAAAGTAAAAAAAAAAAAAAGTTCCGACGATCAGCTGAGCGACGCGTGATCATCGGAACTTTTTTTTTTTTTTTTTTTTAAAGCATTTTTAGCTACCGGTTCCAGAGAACTGGTAGTAAAAAAATGCTTAAAAAGTTTTTAAAAGAAAAGTTCCGACGATCGCGCGTTGCTCTGCTGATCGTCAGAACTTTTTTTTTTTAATATATTTTTTACTACCAGTTCGGGTGAACCGGCCTGAACCGGTCGCATTTCACCCCTCACCCCGGGACACTACAACCATCATAAATATAAACCAGTTGTCAAGCATCTGAATGTAAATCACCTCACCGTGGAGATGCTGCAACGGTCATAAGTGTGAAAAATGGTCGTAAGTCGCTTTTTGCGGTGCTGTTGTAACTTCGAACGGTCACTAAATGAACTGTTGTTAAGTTGAGGATTACCTGTGCATGCTTGGCTGAAGAAATGCTCCGTTAAGCTTTGCGATTTTTATAAACCTTTAGACCTTCTCGACAACTTTTAATATGGGTGGACTTCAAGCCCCAGAATTCTCAGTGACGGCCAAACTGGCTGGAGAATTCTGGAGGCCAGACGGGCAGAAATTGTCTAAAAAATTTAGGCATTATATTTTTCTTAGTTCTACATCAAGACGCTGGAGATTGAAGTTAAAAAAAACATCTTTGGAATAGAAATAGAGTGAATGTACAGTATTAAAACCCTTCACCGGCTCCTCTTGCCTGTTGTATGTCCGTCAACTAATACATTTCTCTCTCTCTCTCTTTTTTGTGTGTGTGTCTTCACAGTGGGAACGCCTCTGGTTCTTAATCCTCACCTTTTCTTTCTTCCTGACCCTGATCTGGTTCTATTTTTGGTGGGAAGTTCACAACGACTACAATGAAATCAACTGGTAAGTGGAAAAAAGTACTAACAGCCATCTCCTAACCCTTAGCTTACATTGGGGGAAACAAAACAGCCACTTCACAAACGCATGGCACGACATAGGAGAACAAGCACATCAGGACTAGATTCAGCAGTCCACCTGCATTTAGATGACACAGGCCACTCGTTCGAAGACAGCAAAGTCCACATTTTGGACAGAGAGGATTGATGGTTTGAAAGAGGCGTCAAAGAGGCCATCTAGGTCAAAATTGAACAGCTCTCTCTCAACAGAAGGGGAGGGATATGACATCATCTTTCTCCAATCTACAACACAGTCCTTTCAACAGTTCCAAGAAGGCTCCACACCGATTTGCACCACTCAGGTGACCCTGAGGACACAGATAAATCTCCAGGTGACCTTTAACCACTCGCTAAAAAAATGCAAATGTCCAGCTGTCCGCGTGGACTGATGGGGTCTACTGTTTTAAATTGGTTTTAAATTGGTTTTAGTCTGTTTTAGTATTTATCTATCTATCTATCTATCTATCTATCTATCTATCTATCTATCTATCTATCTATCTATCTATCTATCTATCTATCTATCTATCTATCTATCAATCAAATTTCTATACCGCCCTACTCCCGGAGGACTCAGGGCGGTGAACAGCCAAGATAAAATACAGATAATACAAATATTAAAAGTCTCTTAAAATTATTAAATATTTTGGCCGAAACACAGATTAAAACACCCAATTTATAAAATCAAACGAATTAAAAATTTAAAAGGGAGAGTTAGGCCAGGCCAGCCTACTGAAATAAAAAAGTTTTGAGAGCACGACGAAATGTGCGCAGATCCGGGATCCTCCATATCTTTGGGGGGAGCTCGTGCCAGATGGTAGGTGCCCCCACAGAGAAGGCTCTCCCCCTGGGGGCCGCCAGTCGACACTGTTTGGCCGATAGCACCCTGAGAAGCCCCTCTCTATGGGAGCGTACTAGTCGGTGAGAGGCTATTGGTAGCAGAAGGCGGTCTCGTAAATACCCCGGTCCGATGCCATGGAGCGCTCTAAAGGTGGTAACCAAAACTTTGAAGCGCACCCGGAAGACCACCGGGAGCCAGTGCAGCTCGCGCAGGAGGGGGGTCACATGGGAGTGCCACGCCGCTCCCATAATCACCTGTGTGGCGGTGTTCTGGACCAGCTGGAGCCTCCGGGTGCTCCTCAAGGGGAGCCCCATGCAGAGAGCATTACAGTAGTATGTTTTAATGTGTATTTATTGGGATTGTTTCACTGATGTGAGCCGCCCTGAGTCCTTTGGAGAGAGGGTGGCATATAAGTCCAATAAATAATAATAATACAAATAAAATCCTTCCATTCCCCACCATCCAGTCAGAGTTGAAGAAGCTTCTTGGAGGAGAAGCGAAACGTCTTCAAAGAAAAAAATCAGAAAGTCCAGCTGCCTCTTGAAAAAGCACCTTCGGGACAACCAGGACCTGTAGGATGGAGAATCTCCATAGACATAACCCTTAGCATGCAGTGCTCCCTTTGCCAAATTGAAAATATATATATATATATATACAGCAATAGGAATAGTGTGCAAAAAAAATCTCTCCAGGGATTTGAGCTGGAAAAGCAGGAGAAACAATACTCAGCATTTCAATTGTATCTGCAAGGGTTGCCAAGTCTTTCCTTAAACCTATTCCCACTCGGACTACTGCAGCACCCCTTGAAGAGTGTTTGGGATACGTCACAGATGTTTTTCCATCTTTGACTTTGTTGACATTGTCAGCAGTTCTGGGAGAAATTGTGTTGACTGCCCTTTGGCTCCGGGGCACAATTCGAAATGACGGTTGAGCATGTAACTATGCAGTCATAAAATTCCACCGGATGGAATGTGCAAATTCAGAATTTCAGGAGTGCAAACATGAAAGTCTTTATTATTATTATTTAATTCTATTAAATAGTTTTTTTTTCACTGAAACTCATTCAAAGTCCAGTCAGCATTTTGCATTCCCTGGGTCAAATGTGCAAATTCAGAACTTCAGGAGCGCAAACATGAAAGTCTTTATTAACATCATTATTATTATTTTAATTCTATAAAATGAATTAATTACCGAAACTCATTAATTACTGAAACGCATTAAAGTCCAGTCAGCATTCTGCACTCCAAATTCAGAATTTCAGGAGCACAAACTTGAAAGTCTTTTTTTAATTATTATTATTTTTAATTTGTATAAGAGTTTGTTTTACTGAAACACATTAAAAGTCCAGTCAGCATTTTGCATTCCCCGGTCAAATGTGCAAATTCAGAATTTCAGGAGTGCAAACGTGAAAGTCTTTATTATCATTATTATTATTTTAATTCTATAAAATGAATTAATTACTGAAACACATTAAAGTCCAGTCAGCATTCTGCACTCCAAATTCAGAATTTCAGGAGCACTAACTTGAAAGTCTTTTTTTTAATTATTATTATTTTTAATTTGTATAAGAGTTTTTTTTACTGAAACACATTAAAAGTCCAGTCAGCATTTTGCATTCCCTGGTCAAATGTGCAAATTCAGAATTTCAGGAGCACAAACATGAAAGTCTTTATTAACATCATTATTATTATTTTAATTCTATAAAATGAATTAATTACTGAAACGCATTAATTATTGAAACGCATTAAAGTCCAGTCAGCATTCTGCACTTCAAATTCAGAATTTCAGGAGCACAAACTTGAAAGTCTTATTATTATTATTATTATTTTTAATTTGTATAACAGTTTTTTTTACTGAAACACATTAAAAGTCCAGTCAGCATTTTGCATTCCCGGTCAAATGTGCAAATTCAGAATTTCAGGAGCGCAAATATGGAAATTTTTTTATTATTACTTTTTTAATTCTATAAAATGCATTAATTACTGAAACGCATTAAAGTCCAGTCAGCATTCTGCGTTCCAAATTCAGAATTTCAGGAGCACAAACTTGAAAGTCTTTTTATTATTATTATTATTTTTAATTTGTATAACAGTTTTTTTTTACTGAAACACATTAAAAGTCCAGTCAGCATTTTGCATTCCCCGGTCAAATGTGCAAATTCAGAATTTCAGGAGCGCAAATATGGAAGTTTTTTTATTATTACTTTTTTAATTCTATAAAATGCATTAATTATTGAAACGCATTAAAGTCCAGTCAGCATTCTGCGTTCCAAATTCAGAATTTCAGGAGCAAAAACATGAGTGTCTTTTTATTTTATTATTTTATTTTTAATTCTATGAAATTGTTTCATACTGAAACGTATTAAAGTCCAGTCAGCATTCTGTATTCTCTGGTCAGAAAGAACCTGCTAAAAAAACTCTGACCTGCCTCTAAGAAACAAAGTACAGTTTTAAAATGTTCTGTACAAACAGCACGGATTACATTCTAAAAAAAACCCAACGATTATCTGGAGGAAATGCCGCTGTGAAAAGCTGGCATCAAATAATTAGGATGTCAGTGGGAGAAAACAGAATAATTTGCATTTTTAATGAAAGGTTTTTAAAGGAACTTGTGTTGACGCTGCTATAAATTATTGTCTGGTTCCAGGTGTTGTGCATTTATCAGCTTTTAAAGGATTTTAATGAGGTTTTAAAGATTGTTGTTTTTAAATTTGCTCATCCTAGGAAGAGAAAATTTGGATCTGTAAGTGAGAAATACGAATACAGGTAGTCCTCAGCTTATAACCCATTCATTTAGTGACCGTTCGAAGTTACAACGACACTGACAAAAGTGGTTTATGACCATTTTTCACACTTTAAGACTGTGTTGCATAGTCACATAATCAAAATTCGGACGCTTGGCAACTGATTCGCATTTATGACAGTTGCAGTGGCCCCGGAGTCATATCATCCCCTTTTGCGGCCTTCTGACAAGCAGTAGGGAAGCCAGATTCACTTAACAACCGTGTGGCTAACTTAACAATTGCAGTGCTTCATTTACCGTAACAACTGTGGCAAGAAAAGTTGTAAAATGGGGGAAAAAATAAGTTAACAAATGCTTGGTGTAGCAACAGAAATTTTGGGCTCAATTGTGGTTGTAAGTCGAGGACTAACTGTACTGGCCTACTGACAACATTTTGGAGACGCTGGGATTTTTTTTCTTTTCTTTTTATAATTCCTAATCTAGTTTTATAGTTTTAGAACTTCCTGTGCTAACAGGTTGCTCAGTTTCCCAACCCTACCAGCACAGAGTTAAGAACTGGCACCTGTGGGACAATTTATTTCAGTTTAAAATGATTTGGAGCAGTGGTGAAATGTAAAATTTGTTCTGTGGGCATGGCTTGGGGGGGGTGGGGGTAATGTGACTGGGTGGACATGGCCAACTTTTTTTTTTTTTACTTTACTTTTAAAAGCATTTTTTTCTACAACCTTAAGAGGTTGCAGAAAAAAATGCTTTTAAAAGCCTCTGACGATCCCAGCTGAGCTGTGCGATCATCAGAGGCTTTTTTTTTAACTTTTAAAAGCATTTTTTCTACAACCTTAAGAGGTTGCGGAAAAAAATGCTTTTAAAAGCCTCTGACGATCCCAGCTGAGCCGCGCGATCATCAGAGGCTTTTTTTTTTTACTTTTAAAAGGATTTTTTCTACAACTTAAGTGGTTGCGGAAAAAAATGCTTTTAAAAGCCTCTGACGATCCCAGCTGAGCTGCCGATCATCAGAGGCTTTTTTTTTTTTTTTTACTTTTAAAAGCATTTTTTCGGCCGAAAAGGATGTAGAAAGAAATGCTTTTAAAAGTAAAAAAAAAAAGCCTCTGATGATCGCGTGGCCCAGTTGGGCATGGAGGGGGGGGGCAGGGATTTTTGCTACCGGTTCTCCGAACCACCCGCCGCCATCGCTACCGGATCGGGCGATCCGGTCTGAACCAGGAGCATTTCACCCCTGATTTGGAGGCTTTAATACAGCCCTAAAAATTTGCCTTCAGGCTGATATAAGGGAGAATCAGCATTTCTCATCCCTGAAGACCCTAAAACTTGTGGACTTCAACTCCCAGAATTCCCCAGATTAGCTAACAGATTAGAGAAGGCTTTTTTGAGCCTTTCCCCATGCTGGTGGCTGGGGAATTCTGGGAGTTGAAGTCCACACGTTTTAAGTTTTTCAGGGTTGAGAAACGCTGGTCTATCTAGGACAGAGGTAGGGAATATGGCCCCTTCGTGACTTGTGGACTTCAATTCCCAGAATTCCCCAGATTAGCTAACAGATTAGAGAAGGCTCTTTCCAAATAGGATACATCCTGGCTCGGGAATTCTGGGAGTTGAAGTTCCCACGTTTTAGGGTTTTCAGGGTTGAGAAACGCTGGTCTATCTAGGACAGAGGTGGGGAAAACCATGGCCCCCTTCGTGACTTGAGGACTTCAACTCCCAGAATTCCTGAGTCAGCATGGCCGGCTCAGGAATTCTGGGAGTTGAAGTCCACAAGTCATAAAAGGGCCATAATTTCCCCAGTCCTGATTTAACGTGTTTCCCTAAAAATAAGACTGGACCTTATATTAATTTTTGCTCCAAAAGATGCATTTAAGGCTTATTTTTTTCGGTTAGGTCTTATTTTCAGGGAAATAAACTACTAAATCCATTCCTCTAATTGACTACGTTAATTGGGGCTTATTTTTGGGGTAGGGTTTATATTACGAGCCTCCTGAAAAATTATGCTAGGGATTATTTTCCAGTTGAGTCTTATTTTCAGGGAAACATGGTAGGAGGTAGGAAAATTCCTGTCGTGGGCATGGGGGTTGGACTAGATGACCTCTAAGGATTCTTCTCATCCTGTCATTCTATGATTTATGCACATCGGCCAGATCTTCTCTGACATTAAAGTGATTGCATTTAATTTTTTTTTTTTTAATTCCCTCCCTTCCCTCTCCAGGTTTTTATATAATAGAATGGGATACTGGAGTGATTGGTCCATTCCTATACTGGTTACGACGGCTGCTGGTTTCACTTACATCACAGCTTTATTGGTAAGTTTCGAACTCAGGATCTCTGGTGGGTTTTTTTCAAAGGTTACATGACGGTTTGATATTTGCTTTCGGAATAAAATAGGCCAGCTTTTGTTCTTGCAAAAGACAGTTTTTTAATTGGATTTTTAAGTACGGGGGATAAAGTTTTTATTTTGCTAGATTTTAAAGGTAGTCCTTAACTTAAATCGAGCCCAAAATTTCCATTATTAAGCTAGATAGGCATTAAGTGAGTTTTGCCCCCTTTTACGGCCTTTCTGGCCACAGATGTTAAGTGAATCCATGCAGTTGCTAAGTTAGTACCACCGTTGTTAAATGAATCCTGTTGCCCCCATTGACTTTGCTTGTCAGAAGGGCAGGGAGGAAAAGAAGCAGTTCAAATCCCTAGTACAGGTCTCCTTGTGTGAGCAGGGGGTTGGACTAGATGACCTCCAAGGTCCCGTCCAACTCTGTTACTGTTACATAAGCCATGTTGAGATGGTGGCTCAGGAAACCACATGGATGTTTCCTTGCATGCACCAGGAGTTGACCTGGACTCGTAAAAGAACATCAGTTTTTGTTTTTCGTCGTTGCCGAAGCGCCTCCCTGAATCAAGTAATAAATAACTGTGGTTTTTTTTACCCTTGTTTTCAGATTTTAGCACTTTGTCACATAGCTGTAGGACAACAGATGAATCTGCATTGGATCCATAAGGTGAGTTTTGGTCTGATCCATGGTAATATGAGCGTGTGTCTCGGGAACGCTCACAAAATGGCTGATGAAGTGGGTGTGGCCAGTCATAAAACCCATTTTCCTAAAGAATGAGTTATCAGCTTTCCTTCTCCTCCTCCTCCTCCTCTTTCTCTCCTCCTCCTCTTTCTCTTCCTCTTCCTCCTCTTCCCTCTCTTCCTCCTCCACTTCCTCCTCCTCCTCGTCTTCCTCTTTTTCTTCCTCCTCCGCTTTCTCCTCCTCCTCTTTCCCTCCTCCTTCACTTCCTCTTCCTCGTCGTCTTCCTCCTCTTCCTCTTCTTCCTCCCCATCTTCTTCTCTTCCCCCACCACTTCCTCCTCTTTCTCCTCCTTTTTCTTTTTCTTTCTCCTTCTCTTTCTCTTCCTCCTCTTCCTCCTCCTCCTCCCCCCTCCTCTTTCTCTTTCTCCTCTTCCTCTTCTTCCTCCTCCTCCTCCTCCCTCTCTTTCTCCTCCTCCTCCACCTCTTTCCCTCCTCCACTTCCTCTTCCTCGTCATCTTCCTCTTTCTCTTCCTCCTCTTCCTCTTCTTCCTCCTTTACCTCCTTCTCTTCCCCCACCACTTCCTCCTCTTTCTCCTCCTTTTTCTTTCTCTTCCTCCTCCTCCTTCTCTTCCTCCTCCTCCCCCTTCCCCTCCTTTTCTCTTCCTCTTTCTCCTCTTCCTCTTCTTCCTCCTCCACCTCCACCTCCTCTTCCTCTACCACTTCCTCCTCCTCCTCCCCCTCTTTCTTTTCCTCCTCCTCCTCTTTCCCCTTCTCCTCCTCCTCCTCTTCCTCTTGCCCGCAGTTGAAGGATCAGGATCCAGAAGTGGGACTATCCCTTGTGAAATCTCTTTGGCGAGAGATTTTCCCACTTCAGGGATCCTGAGCCGCCTGAAAACTTCTGAGCTTCCGGCTGTGACTTTCCCTAAAACTTTTCCACCAAACCCAGGAAGATTTTGATAGCGGCTTAAAAAAAAAATCAACAGCTTTATCTCAAGACAAGCTTTCTTAGGTCCAGGAATCCTATCCAAATGTCAGGTGTTGCAAAGCGTTTGTGAGAATGTGCATCCTTCCAAACCCATAGGCACGCTGACCCCCGAGAATCTCTGTTTGACAGGCCTGGCTTGCGAAGCTGAGAGGTTTGCACCTTGCAGCCGGCTTAAGATCAAACCGTCCATCGTAGTCACGAAATGGAATAAAAATCTCTCTGCTTGCATTTCAGATCGGTCTGATCACTACCTTGATCTCCACTGTTGTTACAATGAGTTGTGTAGCCCAGTTGTGGGACGATGAATGGGGTATGGTGGTAATATCATTGCAAGTAAGTTGTTTTCACTTAATTTGCCCCCCACACAAAGCACACCAAGATTGCAGAGCCAAACAATATATTATTTTGCCCTAAATTTGATCCTCTCTAGTTCAGCAACTGAATATTCGCACCAAGCCTTTAAAAAAAAGAAAAGAAAAGAAAAATTCCCTTAAAAAACCAGTTTTCTCATGATTTTTGATAGGGCTACAAGTAGTCCTCAACTTACGACCCACATTTCTGTTGTTAAGTGAAAAGAGAGTCCTTGACTTACAGCAGTTTGTTTAGCGACGGTTCAAAGTTACTGCTGTAAAAAGTGACTTATGGTCTTTTTCCCCACACTTACAACCGTTGCGGCCTCCTCATGGTCACATGACCAGAATTCGGACCCGTGGCAACTGACTCATATTTTATGACGGTCCCAGTGTCCCGGAGTCATGTGATCTCCTGACAAGCAAAAGTCAATGAGGAAGCCCGATTCATTTAACAACCGGGTTACTCACTTAACAACTGCAGTGTTTCCCTTAAGAACTGCAGCAAGAAAGGTGGTAAAACCAGGCAAAATTCACTTGGTAAATGTCTCGTTTAGCAGCAGGAATTTTGGGCTCAATTGGGGTCGTAACTCGAGGAGTACCTGTAATGGAAGGGCTGACAATGGAAAACCACTTTTAATTCTCTGCAGCTTTGCAAAACTGCCTCTCGGATCCCCACAAATGCTGCTTCTCTTCGGTTGTTAACTGTTCTGGAGATCACATTTGCTTACTAATTGTTTGCAAATCACTTCTGTCCCATCGTAGGCAACTGCTCCTTTCCTGCACCTAGGAGCTCTTGTGGCGGTCACGGCCCTGTCTTGGTTAGTCTCCGGGCAATTTGCGAAAGCCGAAAGAGCCAGTGAGTAGAACCGCATTCCTCCTATTCAGCTTGGAAAGATGGAATGACAAAGAAGGAGAAGGACCAGTGGTGAAATGCAAATTTTTTTTTGTTACCGGTTCTGTGGGCGTGGCCTGGTGGGGCGTGGTTTGGTGGAGGGGGTCATGTGACTGGGTGGGTGTGGCCAACTTTTTTTTTTTAAAGCATTTTTTACTACCTATTCGCCCGAACCAGTAGTAAAAAAAAAAGCTTTAAAAAAGTAAAAAAAAAGTTCTGCAGATCACAGCTGTGACACAAGATCGTCGGGACCTTTTTTAAAAAACTTTTTTAAAGCATTTTTTTTTACTACCAGTTTGGGCGAATAGGTAGTAAAAAAATGCTTTCAAAAAGTAAAAAAAAGTTCAGACGATCGTACAGCACAGCTCTGATCGTCAGTACCTTTTTTTAAAAAACTTTTTTAAAGCATTTTTTTACTACCTATTTGCCCGAACCGGTAGTTTTTATCGCTACCGGTTCGCCTAAACCGGAGCGAACTGGTAGCATTTCACCCCTGGGAAGCACACACAGATCACGAAAAAAGTGTCGCAGTTTCACGATGCACACTTTACCCCTTTTGTAGGGGTGTTGTGATGTCACACACATCTGTAAGGAGTGGAGCTTGCATTGCGAGAATTAACCAGACTTTGGAGAGGCTGATCAATTTTGGGTAACTTTCGTTTTCATGACACAGGCATAATGCTTTTATGGAGAAGGAAAATAAGGAAAGAATAGAATAGAATACAGTATGAATAGAATAGGATAGAATAGAATAGAATAGAATAGAATAGAATAGAATAGAATAGAATAGAATAGAATACAGAATGAATAGAATAGAATAGAATAGAATAGAATAGAATACAGAATGAATAGAATAGAATAGAATAGAATAGAATAGAATAGAATAGAATAGAATAGAATAGAATAGAATAGAGAATGAATAGAATAGAATGGCATGGCATGGAATGGAATGGAATAGAAAAATAGGGACCTTGGAGGTCTTCTAGTCCAACCCCTTGCTCAGGCAGGAAACTCCATCCCATTTCAGACAAATGGTCGTCCAATCTCTTCTTAAAAACTTCCAAATCTCTAAATCCAAATTTAGAGATTTGGGTCGAAAAGTAAGATTTTACATGTGGCTAATGGGTTAGAGTTTTGTTTAAGGTATTGGACAAGCCTTCATAGTTTGTAAATCTTGATTTATTGTTTAGTGTCATGTGGAAAGCTGGCTGGTGTGGTTTCTTCAGTGCATCTTGGTTAAACCATGCACCAAATGTGTTACCTGTATCCACCCTGGGTAATAATTGGTTTGATCTACTGGGTAAGGCAACAGGCTAGAAAGCGGGAAATCATGATTTCAACTCCTACTTTAACCATGAAAGCCAGCTGAGTGACTTTGGCCCAATCACCAGGAGATGGTGAATTCTAGTCCTGCCTTAGGCATGAAAGCCAGCTGGGTGACTTTGAGCCAATCACCAGGAGATTGTGAGTTCTAGACTCACCTTAGGCATGAAAGCCAGCTGGGTGACTTTGAGCCAATCACCAGGAGACAGTGAGTTCTAGTTCCCCCTTAGACATGAAACTAGGGTGACTTTGAGCCAATCACTAGGAGATTGTGAGTTCTAGACCCACTTTAGGCATGAAACCCAGCTGGGTGACTTTGAGCCAATCGCCAGGAGACAGTGAGTTCTAGTTCCCCCTTAGACATGAAACTAGGGTGACTTTGGGCCAATCACCAGGAGATTGTGAGTTCTAGACCCACCTTAATCATGAAAGTTGGCTGGAGGACTTTGGAACAGTTACCAGGAGATGGTGAGTTCCAGACCCACCTTAGACATGAAAAACAGCTGGGTGGCTTTGAGCCAGTCTCTCTTTGAGCTCAACCCACCTCACAGGAAGTTGTTGTGTGTGGGAAAATAGGAAGAGGAAGTTGTGTTGGATATGGTCACCGCCTTGGAATTATTTCGAAAAGATAATAAAGGCAGGATGTAAATAAAGTGTAGAGTAGAACAAATATCCCGCAGCACATTTTCTTAAAAGTTCGTCGTGATAAAGACATTGACATGCTGCAGAAGCCACGATGACATCATGGGCATCGTGTCATTATGCAAATGAAGCAAATGACCTCATTTCCCTTCCCTGAAAAGAGCACACCTGCATGTAAGGTTGGATGGAGCTTGGTCCTCGACTTACGACCAGTCACTTAGTGACTCTTTAATGCTCCAGAGCTCCCAAATTTGAAGTTGCCACAGCTCCCACTCAACCCATAATAACACAGTCTTTTTTTTTTTGGGTGCTTGGCAACTGGCCTGTGGGTACGTCGGTTTGGTCCCGCGACTGCAATTTTTGACTTTTTTCCGGGAAAAATGGCATTTAATTTTGTTTTCAGTAAAAACAGCGGGTTTGCTCAAAGATCGTAGCATTCGCATCATGACCGGAACATTTGTTTTACATCCGCCACAAAAATTGTTCTAAATTGGGTCAGTCACATGGGTGTCTCGACTTACGACTATTCTCACATAACGACAGAAATTCTGGGTTCCCTTACAGTCGCAAATCGAGGACAATCTACAGATAGTTCTCGACTTGCAACGGTTTGAAGTTACAACAACACTGAAATAAGTGAGTTATGACCATGTCTCACACTTGTGACCGTTGTAGCGTTCCCCCCGTGGTCACGTGATTGGCATTCGGATGCTTGAGAACTGTCTCACATTTATGACGGTTGCAGTATCCCAACGTCACGTGATTCCCCTTTGGCGACCTTCTGACAAGCAAAGTCATTAGGGAAGCTGAATTCACTTAACAACCACATTCCTAAATTAAGAACTGCAGGGATTCGCTTAACAAATGCGGTGAGAAAGGTCGTAAAATGAGGCAAAACTCACTTAATTTCTCACTTAGCAACAGAAATTTGGGGCTCAATTGCGGCCGTCAATTGAGGATTACCTGTAAAAACACCTTTGTGTCTTGAAATCCTTGGATTTCCCCCCTCCCTTTTTTTTTCTTTTTAAAAAAAGGCTGAGATTGACAAGCAGACTGAAATCTGTGCCTGATTAAATCCTAAACTTTCCAATCGGAATCGACTGTACATTACAAAGAGAATTGCAGATTTTCAATCTTCTCGGTTTCTTTTCCATTCGGTTGTCAGTAAGCCGAAGAGAATATTGCTTTGCTTATTGCCTTATTAAGTTTTCTCCTTTCGTACGTTGACTCAATGTCCTTTTGGGGAATTGCGTTCTGCAATCATCACCCCAGCTGTAGTTTAGATAGATGAGAAAACGACGCGCAAGCTTGCTCTCCGAAGAAGTCTCAAGAACCTGCAAAGTTTTCCTTGTTGCTAGAAAACCTTTACCCCGTTAGCAACACCGAGATCGGATAAAGTTAAGAAGGACGAGATGCGTGGAGACAAGAATAGTAGGAGCCTTGGTGGAGCAGCGGACTAAAGTGCTGTTAAGTAGCACTTAGCTGCCAGCTGCCTGCAATTACTGCGAGTTCAAATCTCACCAGGCTCAAGGTTGACTCAGCCTTCCATCCTTCCGAGGTAGGTAAAATGAGGACCCGGATTGTGGGGGCAATAAGCTGACTTTGTATAAAAAAGAACATCGCTTAGGGGCCCCCCGAAAGCCCTACTAAGCAGGTATATACAAAAGTACGAAGGCTACTGCTTAACGCGTTGTAAGCTGCCCAGAGTCTCCGGAGAAGGGTGGCATATAAATCGAACCAATAAATAAATAAACAAACAATAAATAGCACTTAAGATGTATATACCGCTTCACAGTGCTTTCCAGCCCTCTCTAAGCGGTTTACAGAGTCAGCTTCTTTCCCCCAACAATCTGGGTCCTCATTTTAGCAACCTTGGAAGGATGGAAGTCAACTCCTGGCAATGGGCAGAGTTAGCCTGCAATACTCTATTCTAACCACTGGGAGAGAAGGAAGGAAAGAAGGAAGGAAGGAAGGAAGGAAGGGAAGGAAGGAAGGAAGGAAGGAAGGAAGGAAGGAAGGAAGGAAGGAAGGGCAATAGCCTTAGAAGAGCCTTGGTGGTGCAGTGGACTAAAGTGCTGTTAAGTAGCACCAGCTGCCTGCAATTACTGCAAGTTCAAATCTCACCAGGCTCAAGATTGACTCAGCCTTCCATCCTTTCTAAGGTAGGTAAATTGAGGACCCAGATTGTGGGGGCAATAAGCTGACTTTGTATAAAATATACAAAAGTATGAAGGCTATTGCTTAACACATTGTAAGCCGCCCTGAGTCTCCGGAGAAGGGCGGCATATAAATCGAACCAATAAATAAATAAATAAATAAATAGGGAAGCAAGGGACAGAAGTGGTTCAACATTCAGTAAATTAAAATGAGCAGATCTAGCACTTCGCTTTCCATATTGTGTCTCGCTGTCGTAAGCACTCTCGGCTGCCCCTGGCTATTTGCTGTCACCCTAATTCCCTGTAATTCTAATTCAGCCAGTCAGGACTGGATCAGAAAATGAAGTGTTTGTGTGCGAGTGGTTTTTTTTTTTCTTGTTTTTTTTTTTTTAAACTGCATTAGCAAGCCTAATGTTTGCAAAAGTCTAGCAGGTTTCCAGAGAAAAATTGATGGAGGGACTCAACAACACCACAAGTAAAAATCAAGCATAAATGATCTATGACCGAAGGGCACAGAAGGGGGAGGAGGCCTTAGTGCTCTCTCTGAGCTTGCCGGTTTGCTTGCAGGCGTTTCGTTACCTGACTAGCTAATACCATCAGTGCTGGTGAGTGTGGGATTTGTGCCTCGCAACTGATGATGTTAACCTAGTTGAGTAATGAAAAGGCTGCAAGGAACAAGCAATTCCTGAAAGCATTAAGAACCCCACAGTTCTCCTCCTCCTCCTCCTCCTCCTCCTCCTCCTCTCCATAAACCCCACCTCCCCCTAGCACTGATGATATATTCTAGTTGGGTCATGAAACATCTGCAAGAAAACCACCAGAGAGCACCAGGGACCCCACAGTCTTCCTTTTCCTCCTCTTCCTCCTCCTCCTCCTCCTCCTCCTCCTCCTCCTCCTCTCCATAAACCCCACCTCCCCCTAGCACTGATGATATATTCTAGTTGGGTCATGAAACATCTGCAAGAAAACCACCAGAGAGCACCAGGGACCCAACAGTCTTCCTTTTCCTCCTCCTCCTCCTCCTCCTCCTCCTCCTCCTCCTCCTCCTCCTCCTCCTCCTCCTCCTCCTCCTCCTCCTCCTCCTCCTCCTCCTCCTCTCCATAAACCCCACCTCCTCCTAGCACTGATGATGTATTCTAGTTGGGTCATGAAACATCTGCAAGAAAACCACCAGAGAGCACCAGGGACCCCACAGTCTTCCTTTTCCTCCTCTTCTTCCTCCTCCTCCTCCTCTTCTTCTTCTTCCTCCTCCTCCTCCTCCTCCTCCTCCTCCTCCTCCTCCTCCTCCTCCTCCTCCTCCTCCTCCTCCTTATAAACCCCATCTCCTTCCAGCACTGATGATGTGTTCTAGTTGGGTCATGAAACATCTGCAAGAAAACCACCAGAGAGCACCAGGGACCCCACAGTCTTCTTTTCCTCCTCCTCCTCCTCCTCCTCCTCCTCCTCCTCCTCCTCCTCCTCCTCCTCCTCCTCCTCTCCATAAACCCCATCTCCTTCCAGCACTGATGATATATTGTAGTTGGGTCATGAAACATCTGCAAGAAAACCACCAGAGAGTACCAGGGACCCCACAGTCTTCCACCACCACCACCTCCTCCTCCTCCTCCTCCTCCTCCTCTCCATAAACCCCATCTCCTTCCAGCACTGATGATGTATTCTAGTTGGGTCATGAAACGTCTGCAAGAAAACCACCAAGCTCAGAGAGCAACAAGGACCCCACAGTTCAACCCTGAGCTACAGAGATACTGCTTTCTTGGCACATAAGGTTAAATGTGGAACATTCAGCATTCAGGAGGTGTTGGGTAACAGGAACCAAACATGAGATAACTGGGACGGGAATAATGCAGTCTGCTTAGCCATGGACAGGAAAGAGCAAGCAAAGGTCATTATAAAAAAACAGCAACCTGAAAAGAGATCCAACTACATCTTAGCAAACAAATAGGGAGTGAAATTACAAGGCAGTCCTTGACGTACTATACGAGCACAGTTGAGCCCAAAATTTGCATTGCTAAGCAAGAAGGCAGTTAGGTGCATTTTGGCCCATTTTACAACTCCCCTTGCCACAGTTATTAAGTGAGTCGTTGCAGTTGTTAGTAACGTGGTTGTTAAGTGAATCTGTTGACTTTCCTGTTGACTTTGCTTGTCAGAAGGTCACAAAGTGGGACATTGCAACCGTCATAAATATGAACCAGTTGCCAATTTTGATCACGTGAACATGGGCGTGCTGCGATGGTCGTGAATGTGAAAAACAACAGTGCTGTTGTAATTCAAAATGGTCACTAAATAAAGGGTTGTAAGTCAAGGACTATCTGTATACTGCCCCATAATGCTTTCCAGCCCTCTCTTAAGAGGTTTACAGAGTCAGGCTATTGCCCCCAACAATCTGGGTCCTCATTTTATCGACCTTGGAAGGATGGAAGGTTGAGTCAACTTTGAGCTCCGTCAGGATCGAACTCCTGGCTGTGGGCAGAGTTTGCCTGCGATGCTGCACTTTTAACCACTGCTCCATATTTGATTATACATGTAATAACTGCAGCGAGGATAGTATTTGCACAAAGATGGAAAGTAGAGAAAAATCCCTTCGGGAGACGAAGTAATTAAGAAAATATTAGCTTGTGCAGAAATGAATAGACTGGCTTTGATAATACGGAGACAATTTTACAATTGGTTAGAGAAGAGAGATAGATAAATGTATTAATAGTAAACAAGAAAATGTTATAATAAATGAAGTATGGGGAGAATGTTATAATAAAGAAATGGGAAAAATAAAGAAACGATGAAAGATCGGAGGAGTTAGAAGAAGAAGATAAAGACACAATAGAAACATGTAGATCAGGGGTGGGCAACTATGGCCCTTTTATGACTTGTGGACTTCAACTCCCAGAATCCCTCAGCCAGGAGGGGAACTATGACCCTTTTATGACTTGTGGACTTCAACTCCCAGAATCCCTCAGCCAGGAAGGGAACTATGGCCCTTTTATGACTTGTGGACTTCAACTCCCAGAATTCCTGAGCCAGCCATGTTAGCTCAGGAATTCTGGGAATTGAAGTCCACAAGTCATAAAAGGGCCATAGTTGCCCACCTCTGATCTAGACGATACACTGAATGATTGATTATGTATTGTATGTTTATTTGTTTATAAAATAATTTTTTTTTTAAAAAAAGCTCACTGCTCCACCAGTGGTTAAATTTCCAGCTGACGTGGTCGCAAACTATGATTTCTGGGACTTGATGTCCATGCAGTGAAGAATCACCAGGATGTTTGTCTCGTGGCGAAGATAATGGCTTATTCTTCTTTTCAATCCAATCCTTGGAAATCAGTTTCAGCCTTTCTCTTTGTCTCTTGGATGTTTTTTGGCAGGCAGCCACAAAAGCTAATACTGTCCTTCTTTGTATAAATAGAGGCCTAGAATCGAAACCAGGTGAAGTATTATTACCGCTTTATAAATCCTTAGTAAGATCACACCTGGAATCCTGCATTCAATTTTGGTTATTATTACCGCTTTATAAATCCTTAGTAAGATCACACCTGGAATCCTGCATCTAGTTTTGGTCACCGCATTATAAAAAAAAGATGTTGAGACTTTGGAAAAAGTGCAGAGAAGAGCAATTAAGATGATTATTTATTTATTTTATTGAATTTATTTATTAATATTGATTAAAGGCCTCGAGTCTAAAACATATATGAAGAACCGTTGCAGGGTGGGGGTTTGGGTAGTCTAGAGAAAAGAAGGTCTGGGGGGACGGGACACATTATAGCAGGATTCTTATATTTGAGGGGTCGCCACAAAGAAGAGGGGGTCAATTTATTTTCCAAAGCACCTGAAGGCAGGACAAGAAGCAACGGATGGAAACTCGTCAACGAGAGAAGCAACCTGGAACTAAGGAGAAATTTCCCGAAAGTGAAAACAATCAGTGGAACAGCTTCACTCCAGAACCTTTGGATGCTCCATCACTGGAGGTTTTTAAGAAGAGACTGGACAACCATTTGTTTGAAATGGTACAGGATCCCCTGCTTGTGCAGAGGGTTGGACTAGATGACCTCCAAGGTCCCTTCCAATTCTGTTATTCCATAACCACAGATCAATTAATCAGTGGAATGGCTGGCCTCCAGAACTTGTGGGTCTTCCATTACTGGAGGCTTTTAAGAAGAGATTGGACAGCCACTTTCCTGCAATGGTTTAGGTTCTCCTGCTTGGGCAGGGGGTTGGACTAGAAGACCTCCAAGGTCCCTTCCAACTCTGTTAATCTGTATAGGCTACATCCTCCCATAGATAGCGGAGATGGAGATAGGACTTATGATGCAATTTTATTGGATGCCATTAGTTCATTTGAAATCAAGAGAATTTGTTTTCTTGGATTGTCTGGTTTGAACAGGGGGTTGGACTAGAAGACCTCCAAGGTCCCTTTTCAGCTGTATTCCAAATCGATTGAGATCTCCCATGTTTCTTTCCTCCAGCTTCCCAGCTAAAGAAGACCTCCAAGGTCCCTTCCGTTAATCTGTATGGACTACATCCTCTCATAGATATCAGAGATTGAGATAGGATGCAGTTTTATTGGACGCCATTAGTTCATTCGAAATTAAGATAATTTTGTTTTCTTGGAATGTCTGGCTTGAGCAGGGGGTTGGACTAGAAGACCTCCAAGGTCCCTTCCAAGTCCGTTAATCTCTATGGACTACATCCTCTCATAGATATCAGAGACTGAGATAGGATGCAATTTTATTGGACGCCATTAGCTCATTCGAAATCAAGAGAATTTTGTTTTCTTGGAACGTCTGGCTTGAGCAGGGGGTTGGACTAGAAGACCTCCACGGTCCCTTTCCAGCTGTATTCCAAATCGATTGAGATCTCCCATGTTTCTTCCCTCCAGCTTCCCAGTTGCTGATGCTTGGGACCTATTTTGCAGTGGTCCTTGGACTGTACCTGGTGCCCCTCACCTTCTCCTCCCCATGCATCATGGAAAGGAAGGACCTGGGACCCAGACCTGCCATCCTTGGCCACCGCGGAGCCCCCATGGTAGGTAGGCCTCTTTTTCATTCTGTTCACACAACACACACACACACACACACTCACAAACACACACCAGTTTTAAGCACAGATTATTGAACGCCGCCTTCGACCACACATTGTTTCATATTTTGTATTAGTTTAACAAAATACAAAAAAGGAAAAAAAAGGAAAATAATGGGAAAATATGTAAATTCAACAGCTGGATATTTAAATTCAACTGCTGGATATTTAAATTCAACAGCTGGATATTTTAAATTCAACCGCTGGAGCACAGGGGAGGGGTTGTGCAGTGAGCCAGAACCAATAGTCAAGAGTTGATTGGTTGATGACGTCTGGCGTGAGGCAATGTGCGTCGTGATTGGTTGCTGTGGGTGTGGAGGGGGAGTTTCCCTTTTTTCCCGCCTTTTTTTCCTTCGTTGTGCCCCGTAATTTACCTCATGATGTTCCTTCTGTGTTGCTTTACCTCACGGTGCTCCTCTTTGCCTGACTATCTGCTTATAATTGGGCCAAACTATGTTATAATAATAATTTTAATTAGCAATTTTATGATGTTTGTGTATCTATATTTTTCTTGACTGTACACCGCCTTGAGTCCTACGGGAGAAAGGCGGTATAGAAATGTAATAAATAAATAAATAAATAAAGAAAGAAAGAAAGAAAGAAAGAAAGAAAGAAAGAAAGAAAGAAAGAAAGAAAGAAAGAAAGAAAGAAAGATGTAAAATATCTTTTATTTGTATAAAGCTACAAGTTCGTGTCGGCGTCTACAACTCCATTTGGACATCTGTTACGCCAAACCCCAACTTTTTACTTTTTATATAATAATATATGCTGGCAATTTCTGTAACAACAGACCTCTCTCTCAATCAGCAAAACCCAAAATTTCATTCTTCCCCCCCACCTCAAGCACAAAGTCCCCAAATGTAGAAACAAAATGAATTTTTCTTTAATCAAAGCAGTCGATTTGGCCATCTCTGCTAACTCCAATCATTTATCCATTATGAGAATCGAAGCATCCTTCCATTTTTGTCCATAAAGTCATCTTGCTGCTGTCAACATACTCAACATCAAAATTCCAATTATTATTATTATATTTTTTTGCAAGCTTTTTGTCCATTAAGCCTAAAAGAAAAAAAATATCTGGTTATTTTTCTTCATATTCACTTTAAGAATCTCCTGTATTAAGATGTGAATCCTACTCCGGTATTTCTTTGCTTTCATCACATGCCCACCATCTGGGAACACATTAACAGAGTTGGAAGGGACCTTGGAGGTCATCTAGTCCAACCCCCTGCACAAGCAGGAGACCCTGTACCATTTCTGACAGATGGCAGCCCAGTCTCTTCTTGAAAGCCTCCAGGGATGAAGCTCCCACAACTTCCGAAGGCAACTTCTCTTCCATGGGTTGATAGTTCTCACTGTCAGGAAATTCCTCCTTATTTCCAGGTTGAATCTCTCCTTGATCAGTTTCCATCCATTATTCCTTGTCTGGCCTTCGGGTGCTTTGGAGAATAGCTTGACCCCCTTCCTCCTCTCTGTGGCAGCCACTCGAATATTGGAAGATGCTCTCCTGTCTCCACTGGTCCTTCTCTTCACTAGACTAGCCAATGGTCAAAAGTTCCTTCTTTTACAATTTACATTTCCAATGTTCAGCCACATATTGACTGTCTCATGTGGGGCATCCACTCGGAGATCTGAAAGTTAATGAAAGTTCCCCAAGGATTCAAAGGAAAAACGAAGTCTGTATGCCTCCTGAAAAAAAGCACCTTTGGGACAACTGTGACCTGAATGACTGAAATGGTGTAGGGTCTCTTGCTTTGGCGGGGGAGGGGGGGTTGGGGGTTGGACTAGATGACCTACAAGGTCCCTTCCACTTCTGTTATTCTGACGAGCCTGTGGTTCACCTGCCCCCTGTTGGCTTTGGGTTGAGCTATACAATCTGGGATGAAGATCCTTGGAATGGGGTGGGAATAGGAATGGATTTCCAGAGGAAAAATTGCAGACTTCAGGAACCATTTGCATCACTCAGGTGACCCTGAGGACACAGGTAAACCTCCAAGGGCTTCAACGACCCTCTAAAACAGAGGTCTTCAAACTTGGTAGCTTTAAGACTTGTGAACTTCAACTCCCAGAATTCTGAGAGTTGAAGTCCACAAGTCTTAAAGCTGCCAAGTTTGAAGACCTCTGCTCTAAAAGGATGTAAATGACCAGCTGTCTGCAAGGAATATCAATCCTTCCATTCCTCACCATCCAGTCAGAGCTGAAGAAGCTTCTTGGATGAGAAGTGAAACGTCTTCAAAATAAAAAACCAAGGAAGTCCAGTTGCCTCCTGAAAAAAGCACAACCACGATCTGGATGACGGAGAATCTCTACAGACTTTGAGCTATAAAATTTGGGATGAAGACCCTTGGAATGGAGTGGGAGTAGGAATGGATTTCCAGTGGAAAAATGGCAGACTACAGGAACCATTTGCACTACTCAGGTGACCCTGAGGACACAAATAAATCTCCAAGTGGCCTCAATGACCCTCTAAAAGGATGCAAGTGACCAGATGTCTGCAAGGAGTGCAAATCCTTCCATTTTCCACTATCCTGTCAGAGTTGAGGAAGCTTCTTGGGTGAGAAGCAAAATGTCTTCAAAAGAAAAAACAAGAAAGTCCAGTTGCCTCCTGAAAAAGCACCTTTGGGACTCCCTAAGGATTCTGTTGAGGGGTGATCCCGAAGAATTTAAAAGGGGTTCTTCTCCATGGAGAGTAATCCATTCACCCAACGAGAACCTTTCTACCTTTGTTCTGTTGATTTTCTGTACAAGGAAAGGGAGATTATCACCGTACTGAAATTTCACCACTGCAGGAGAAGAGCAGGCAAAGCAGAGGGGCAGAGTTAAACGAGTCATCAGCCTAGTATCATTGCGTTCCCACAAACAGTCCAAATCCAACCCCTCTTGAATTCAACCCCTCTGGACTCTTTATCTGGTGCCAATTTAGAAGTGAAATTTAGTTGACTTAGATTATTGAAAGATAAATCTTAACTTGTGGCCCTGTTCCTTTGCGCCTGACAACATAGGGCCAGGCCACCATCTCGGATGTCCAGCTGGCTTCAGAAGCCATTCGTGGCTCACGGTAACCCATCTTCATTGTAGATTCAGTCGTACTTTGACTTATGCCAGTCAAGTCCTGCCTTAACCATGAAAGCCAGCTGGGTGACTTTGGGCCGGTCCGTCTCTCTCAGTCCAACCCACCTCACAGGGTTCTTGTGATGACAATAAGAGGAGGAAGGTGTGTTAGATATGTTTGCCACCTTGAGTTATTTGCAAAAAATTTAAAGGTGGGAATGAACATTCTGAAGACAGATGTTTTCCTTGGAGGAGAAAGTTGTTTATTACTTTGACCTCTCTGGCAGTTTTTCAGAGTTCCTGTCAGTATTGGTCAAGGATCCAAGACAAAAAGGCAGATGAATTTGCCTCCAGGAATGGAAGAGGTTTTGAAGTGTTTTTTTAGAGCATTAGCTGTGCTTTTACATGCTCTGAATATCCTTTCCTCCTATTTTTCTCGCAATAGCAATAGCACTTAGACTTATATACCTCTTCATAATGCTTTCCAGCCCTCTCTAAGCGATTAACAGAGTCAGCATCTTGCCCCCCCCCCAAAAAAAATTCTGGGTCCTCATTTTACCAATCTCGGAAGGATGGAAGGCTGTGTTCTGACCTAAGCTTCCTGAGTCATTAAAACACACGAGTAGTCCCAAAAACCTCTTTTATTGCAACAGCTGTGAATTCTGTTCATTCACAGATGAATCCCAATTAGTTATAGAGTCCTTCAGGATAAGGCTGATAATCACCCACCTTTATCTCCCTTGGCACACTGCCAAAGATCTAATTGACAAAGCCACACAAAGTCCATAATCAAACAGAGCTTCAGGCTTTAAGCTGAACTGAATGAACAAACGTGGCTTCCTGAAAAGGCTGAAGTCCTTTGCTCATCTTTTAAGCCCTGTGGGAGGGCCAATCATCTCCAGGCCTTACTCCTGAGTTGTCCCTTTTGTTTTCTTGCCTTCTGGCAGCTCTGCACATGCACGCACTGGGAACAGGCTCCCCTTGTTCCTCTGCCTTGCTGAGGTCTTACTCTGGAGGCTCCGGAAGCAGCACATACTCCCAGATGGCCCTTTCTCTGCCTCCGACGCAGAGCCCTCGTCGAAGCCTTTCCCAGACTCCAGGAATGGCCCATGGTCCTCCCCAGCCTCCTCACTGTTCAACTCTGCTGTCAGCTCCGCAGGCTGCTGGTGGACCCAACAGACTGAGTCAATCCTGAGCCCATCAGGATTGAACTTCTGGCAGTTGGCAGAGTTCACCTGCAGTATTGCATTCTAACCACTGTGCCACCGCAACTTCTTCCATCCCAATCACTTAAGAACTGTGGGCAAGAAAGGTCGTAAAATGGGACAAGGGTCTCTATTTTGATCCCTGCAGTGGTCATGCGCAGGGAGAAAAAAACCATAAGTCCCTTTTTTCAGTTTTTGTGACTTCAAACGGTCACTACACGGATGGTTGTCGGTCGAGGACTACCTATAATGGCACAATGAGCATTTCGAGAAATTAAAACGGAGCTTCCGTGCTGGAGTGGGAGCTGATCGGAGGCTCAGAAATCAGCCTCCGCGCCCCCCCCCAAGTCTATAACTCAGCCACTTCATTGGGTTTCCAATTAAGTGATGCAAATCTTGTCCTTTTGCAGGGAGCTTTTAACGGGGCCGACATGGCACACGGCAGGCTTCAAAGGGCCCTCAAGTCTTTTTCCCGTTTTATTTCATCTAAATCCCCTTCCTTTTAATGGATTAAAAAAAAAGGCATTTTTGCTGCTTAGGGCAAAGCAAAATTAGTGCGGTGCTCAGCCTGCATTTAATTGACTGTAATCCTTCAAAATTTAGGACATGCCTTTAGTTTTTTTTTTTGTTTCCCCATTTTGGCAGTGAAAAAAATCCTAATTATTATTTTTTTCTTAGTATGGTTGGTATGGATGTATCCATTTGTGTGTGTATATGTGTGAGTGTATATACAAATACACACACACATATATATGTATGTATATGTGTGTATATATTTATATATGTGTGTTTGTGTATACCTATATTTTTTGCACTATAAGACGCTCCGGAACATAAGACGCACCTAGCTTTTGGGGAGGAAAACAAGAAAAAAAATATCTGCCTATGCCTCCCAGCATCCACCCAGTATTCATCTGGCTAGCATCCTTGCAGCAAACAGCAAACTGCTGGAGCCTTTGCTGCCGAGCAGCTGATTGGCGGTTGGATCGGCCTCCCAGAATACAGCCGATCAGCTGTTCAAGGTGGCAGCAATCGTCAGTAATTGGCAGTGGTGGCGATCCCCGCCGCCTAGAACAGCTGAACGGCGGTATTCCGAGAGGCCGATCCAATCGCCAATCAGCTGCTCGGCAGTGAAGGCTCCAGCAATCTCCGGTGGCGGTGAACTCCCCTTCCCCCACCGCAATATTCACCCTATAAGACGCATAGACATTTCCACCCACTTTTTTTGGGAGGGGGGGGAATGCATCTTATAATGTGAAAAATACAGTGTATATATATATATATGAGTGTGTGTGTATGTCACTTTGGATAGTAAGATGGGGAAGGGCATATAAATTTATTAAATACATGAGGAGAAGGAACAGCACAGAATCAGATTTGTAGAATTCTGTTGTTATCGCCAATCTCAGTAAATGTAATTTTAATTTTGAATTATTATTATTATTATTATTTAATTTTGATTTATATGCCGCCCTTCTCCGGAGACTGGGGGCAGCTTACAAGGCGTTAAGCAAATTAATTTTAATTTTAGCTTTTCTGTGGAATTGGTGTTCCTAGCCTGGTGAGGCACACATCTTTAAAACACGTTTGGATACCGAATGTTCATATTTTACTTTCTGGTTTGGAACTGTGTCCCAATGTTAGCTTCTGGTGCGTAGCAGTAAAACAAAATATAATTTATTCTTTCTGTTTCTCCTCCAGTTAGCACCTGAAAACACCCTGATGTCCTTCCAGAGAGCAGTGGAGGAGAAGGTTTATGGTGTGCAGGCAGATGTGGTGATAAGGCAAGTCTCACTGCTTGTGCTCAAGATTTAAGGCTGGGGTCTCCAAACTTGGCGACTTTAAGGCTTGTGGACTTCAACTCCCAGAATTCCTCAGCCAGCATGGCTTGCTGAGGAATTCTGGGAGTTGAAGTCCATAAATCTTAAAGTGGCATGGCAGTTGATAAGTTAGTAACCCAGTTGTTAAGTGAATTTCGCTTCCCCATTGACTTTGCTTGTCAGAAGCTCCCAAAAGGTGATCATGTGACCCTGGGACACTGCAACCGTCATAAATATGAGCCAGTTGTCAAGCATCTGGATTTTGATCACGTGATCATAAGGATGCTGCAATGGTTGTTAAGTGGATCGCTGCAGTTTTTAAATGGGTAACATGGTTGCTAAGTGAATCTGTCTTCCCCATTGGCTTTGCTTGTCAGAAGGTCCGGGACATTTATTTATTTATTTATTTATTTATTTATTTACTTACTTACTTACTTACTTACTTACTTACTTACTTACTTACTTACTTACTTACTTACTTATTTACACTGCAACCATCATAAATGTGAGTCATTGTCAAGCATCTAAATATAAATCACATGACCATGGGGAAGCTGAAATGGTCATAAGCGTGAAAACGGTCATAAGTCACTTTTTCCGGTGCCGTTGTAACTTTGAACCGTCACTCAACGAATGGTTGCAAGTCGAGAACTACCTGTATTTGCAAGGACCCTGAAGCAAGAAGCCAAATTCTGAATGGAAAGGAACCCTGGATCTGATCCATCCATCCATCCAGGATAATTATTATATCCTTGTGTTTCTCTGTTCACAGTTATGACGGAGTGCCTTTTCTTATGCATGACCAGACGTTGCGGAGAACCACCAACGTCGAGGAAGTATTTCCAGAGCTAGCTTACGATCATTCCTCTATGTTCAACTGGACAGATTTGGAAAGACTAAATGCAGGCAAATGGTTCCTCAAGGTGTGTAAGTAAGTAGTAATATTATGTCCAGTTGGTGGTTAAGGTAAAAAGGTTCCCCTCGCACATAGGTGCTAGTCGTTCCCGACTCTAGGGGGCGGTGCTCATCTCCGTTTCAAAGCCGAAGAGCCAGCACTGTCCGAAGACGTCTCCGTGGTCATGTGGCCGGCGTGACTCAACGCCAAAGGCGCATGGAAAACGCTGTTCCCTTCCCGCCAAAGGTGGTCCCTATTTTTCTACTTGCATTTTCTTACCTGCTTTCAAACTGCTAGGTTGGCAGAAGCTGGGACAAGCAATGGGAGCTCACCCTGTTAACGCGGCACAAGGGATTCGAACCGCTGAACTGCCGACCTTTCGATCGACAAGCTCAGCGTCTTAGCCACCGCGTCCCTTTAGTTGGTGGTTACAACCCCTCAAAATGTAGTGGAGTTAGGGAAAGTGTGGAGGATCACAACTGAGGCGGTTGCGTCTGCGGCAAGCAGCCAAAACAAAACAAAAGAGCCAACAGTGTGAGGCAGCGGCCCAAAAAACGAATACAGTACAGGAAGTCCCCAACTTACGACCACAATTGAGCCGAAATTTATGTTGCTGAGGGAGAAATCTGTTCAGTAAGTTTTGCCACGTTTTAAAACTTTCCTTGCCACATTTGTTGTTAAAACGTGCAGTTGTTAAAAGAGTAACACGTTTGCTAAGTGAACCTTCCCCGTTGGCTTTTTTCGCCAGAAGGTCACAAGAGGGAAATCACATGACCCCGGGACACTGCACTTGTCATAAATGTGAGCCACTGGGGGATCCCTGGGGGACAAGTGTGAGCCACTTGTCCCCCAGGGATACGACTGATCCCGGACCTCCGTACCTTTCTCCGGGCTCTGAAGACTTTTTTATTTCAGCAAGCCGGGCTGGCTTAAAATTTTTAATTGGTTAATTTTATGGGTAAGGGGTTTTAAATTGGGGGAAGCCAATATAGATTTAATTATGTTTTAAAGTATTTTAATGTTTATATTGTATGTTTTTTAATCCTGGCTGTTCACCGCCCCGAGTCCTTCAGGAGAGGGGCGGTATAAAAATTTAATAAATGAAATGAAATGAAGCATCTGAATATAAATCACATGATTTATATGCTGAAATGGTCATAAGTGTGAAAAACGGTCGTAACTCACTTTTTTTTCAGTGGCGTAACTTCGAACGGTCACTAAGGGAACTGTTGTAAGTTGAGAACTGCCTGTACTAGGTTGCATTAACAGAGGGATAGAATCAAGATCACGATAATACCACTTTATAAAGCCTTACTAAAACCACACTTGGAATCCTGCATCCAATTTTGGACGCCATTTTGTAAAAAAAGATGTGGAGACTCTAGAAAGAGTGCAGAGAAGAGCAACAAAGAGGATTAGGGGACTGGAGGCTTAAAACATATGAAGAACGGTTGCAGGAACTGGGTATGTCTAGTTTAGTGAAAAGAAGGACTAGGGGAGACATGGTAGCAGTCTTCCAATATTTGAGGGGCTGCCCCAAAGAAGAGGAAGTCAAGCTCTTCTCCAAAGCACCTGAAGGCAGGACAAGAAGCAACGGATGGAAACTAACCAAGGAGAGAAGCAACTTAGAACTAAGAGAAATTTCCTGACAGTGAGAACAATTAACCAGTGGGACTACTTGCCACCAGAAGTTGTGAATGCTCCCAACACCGGAGGCTTTTAAGAAGAGATTGCACTCACATTTGTCTGAAATGGTATAGGTCTCCTGTGTGAGCAGCGGGTTGGACTAGATGATCTCCCAGGTCCCTTCCAGCTCTGTTACTGGTTCAGGGGCTGCAACTGCTTCCCTATCTGTAAAGGTTGCAATATTTGGGCTTTTGAAAAAAAAAAAAATCTAGAAGGTTGGCAAATTTGCAGGGACTTAATGGAGATCTAGAGAATTATTCGCGGTGTTGATGAAACGGACAAGGGGGGTAGCTGTTTTTCCAGTTTGCCAAATTCTAGAACCAGAGGTCAAAGCAATGAAACCTAAAGTTGGAAAAATCAGGACAGGCAACAGGGGGAAAAATGTTTCTCTCACCCAATGTATAATTCAACTTTGGGATTCAATATTATGAGATGTGGAGCTCGCTAAACTACTTGGCTGTCTCAAAAGGTGCTTTTTCCAAAAGGTAATTGGAATTCCTTGGGGTTTTGTTTTTTTTTCCCTCCCTTTGGAAACCTTTCGCTTCTCATCCAAGAAGCTTCAGAGAATTGAAGAAGCTTCTTGGATGAGCAGCGAAACGTTTTCAAAGAAAAGAAAAAAAACAAGTCTTTGTTGCCTTTTGGGAAAAAAGCACTTTTGGAAAAAAACGGTGACCCGGATAATTGAGAATCTCCCTTCAAAGCACAACCTTCACAATTCTTCCCACAGAATGACCCCTTCTGGACAGTCAACTCCCTTTCCCCATCAGACTTCGTAAAAGCCGCCAACCAGTCGGTCTGCAAACTGGCCGAGATGCTGGAAACCATCAAGGACAACGCCACCGTCCTCTTGAACCTCCAAGAGTTGCCCGAAGATCACCCGTATTACGCCACTTCGGTCAACGTCACCCTGGAAACCGTCCTCACCTCGGGCATCCCTCAGCAGGCTGTGAGTGGCACTGGGACTTTTGTGGGTAGCCCTTAGCAATAAGGAGAGCACTTTGCCTTATCTAGCGCTTCACAGTTCTTTCCAGCCCTCTCTAAGCGGTTTACAGAGTCAGCATCTTTTCTCCAAGAAACGGGGTCCTCATTTCATCCCTCCCTCCATCCCTCCCTCCTTCCTTCCTTCCTTCTTTCCTTTCATCCTTCCTTCCTTCCCTCCCTCCCTCCTTCCTTCCATCCTCCCCCCTTCCTTCCTTCCTTCTTTCCTTTCATCCTTCCTTCTTTCTTTCCTTCCTTCCCTCCCTCCTTCCTTCCTTCCTTCCTTCCTTCCTAATAGCAGTAGCACGTAAGAATTATATACCGCTTCACAGTTCTTTCCAGCCCTCTCTAAGCGGTTTACAGAGTCAGCATCTTTTCTCCAAGAAACTGGGTCCTCATTTCATCCCTCCTCCATCCCTCCCTCCTTCCTTCCTTCCCTCCCTCCCCCCTTCCTTCCTTCCTTCTTTCCTTTCATCCTTCCTTCCTTCCCTCCCTCCCTCCATCCCTCCCTCCTTCCATCCTTCCTTCTTTCTTTCCTTCCTTCCCTCCCTCCCTCCCTCCTTCCTTCCTTCCATCCTCCCTCCTTCCTTCCTTCCCTCGTTCCTTCCCTCCTCCCTCCCTCCATCTTTCCTTCCTTTCTTTCTTCCTTCCTTCCCTCCCTCTCTCCTTCCTTTCTTTCTTCCTTCCATCCTTCCCTCTCTCCCTCCTTCCTTCCTTCTTTCCTTTCATCCTTCCTTCCTTCCTTCCCTCCCTCCTTCCTTCCTTCCTTCCATCCTCCCCCCTTCCCTCCCTCTCTCCTTCCTTTCTTCCTTCCATCCTTCCCTCTCTCCCTCCCTCCTTCCTTCCTTTCCTCCATCCTTCCTTCTTTTCTTCCTTCCCTCCCTCCCTCTCTCCTTCCTTTCTTCCTTCCATTCTTCCCTCCCTCCCTCTCTCCTTCCTTCCATCCCTCCTTCCCTCCCTCTCTCCTTCCTTCCTTCCCTCCCTCCCTCCCTCTCTCCTTCCTTCCTTCCTTCCTTCCTTCCTCCCTCCCTCCCTCCCTCCCTCCCTCTCTCCTTCCTTCCATCCCTCCTTCCCTCCCTCTCTCCTTCCTTCCTTCCCTCCCTCCCTCCCTCTCTCCTTCCTTCCTTCCTTCCTTCCTTCCTTCCTTCCTAATAGCAGTAGCACGTAAGAATTATATACCGCTTCACAGTTCTTTCCAGCCCTCTCTAAGCGGTTTACAGAGTCAGCATCTTTTCTCCAAGAAACTGGGTCCTCATTTCATCCCTCCCTCCATCCCTCCCTCCTTCCATCCTTCCCTCTCTCCCTCCTTCCTTCCTTCCCTCCTCCCTCCCTCCATCTTTCCTTCCTTACTTTCTTCCTTCCTTCCCTCCCTCTTTCCTTCCTTTCTTTCTTCCTTCCATCCTTCCCTCTCTCCCTCCTTCCTTCCTTCCTTCTTTCCTTCCCTCCCTCTCTCCCTCCTTTTCCTTCCCTCCCTCCCTCCCAACTTCCTTCCTTCCATCCTCCCTCCCTCCCTCCTTCCTTCCTTTCTTTCTTCCTTCCTTCCCTCCCTCCCTCCCTCCCTCTCTCCTTCCTTTCTTCCTTCCATCCTTCCCTCTCTCCCTCCCTCCTTCCTTCCTTTCCTCCATCCTTCCTTCCATCCTTCCCTCCCTCCCTCTCTCTCCTTCCTTCCTTCCCCCTTTCCTCCCCCCTTCCTTCCTTCCTTCCTTCCTTCCTTCCTTCCTTCCTTCCTTCCTTCCTTCCTTCCTTCCTTCCTTCCTTCCTTCCTTCCTTCCTAATAGCAGTAGCACGTAAGAATTATATACTGCTTCACAGTGCTTTTCAGCCCTCTCTAAGCGGTTTACAGAGTCAGCATCTTTTCTCCAAGAAACTGGGTCCTCATTTCATCCCTCCCTCCATCCCTCCCTCCTTCCATCCTTCCTTCTTTCTTTCCTTCCTTCCCTCCTTCCTTCCTTCCTTCCCTCCTTCCTTCCCTCCTCCCTCCCTCCATCTTTCCTTCCTTTCTTTCTTCCTTCCCTCCCTCTCTCCTTCCTTTCTTTCTTCCTTCCATCCTTCCCTCTCTCCCTCCCTCCTTCCTTCCTTCCATCCTTCCCTCCCTCCCTCTCTCTCTCCTTCCTTCCTTCCCCCTTCCCTCCCCCCTTCCTTCCTTCCTTCCTTCCTTCCTTCCTAATAGCAGTAGCACGTAAGAATTATATACTGCTTCACAGTGCTTTCCAGCCCTCTCTAAGCGGTTTATAGAGTCAGCATCTTTTCCCCAACAATCTGGGTCCTCATTTTACTCCTCTCGGAAAGGTGGAAGCTTGAGTCCACCTTGAGCCGGTCTGGATCGAACTCCTGACAGTGAGCAGTGAGTTAGCCTGCAATACTGAAGTCTAACCACTGCAGCTTTGCTGGGTAGCTGTTGGACAGACTTTAGGGCTCCTGTAGGTGAATCTGGCTTCCCCGTTGACTTTGCTCATCAGACAGTCACAAAATGATCCCGGGACCCTTGTAACCGTCATAAATATGAATCAATTGTCCACCTGAATTTTGATCACTTGGGAATGCTACAACGGTCATAAGTGTGGAAAACTCAAATCACTTTTTTTGGTGCTGTTGTAACTTAGGGCAGTCACTGAACGAATGGTTGCAAGTCAAGGATTACCTGTGCTAACCTGTTTGTCCAGCTATTATCAATTAAGTGTTCCCACCTATGTTTTCAAGATTCTAGCTAAGGCATCAGCCTACGTTTGAGTTGTTTTGGACTCAGGTGAGGTATTGCAGCTCTTAACTTCTCCGAAGCATCTCCGGTTTTTTCCTGAAATCCGTCCCCTTGGAAGCTCTCAACCCCTCCTTTCTCCCCGCTGCTCTCCCAGGTGATGTGGCTGCCCAGTCTGGACAGGCATCTCGTTCAAGAAATCGCCCCCGGATTCCAGCAGACCTGTGGCCAGAAGACAGACGCCCAGCGGTTAAGAGACCGAGGTTTCCAGAAGCTCAACCTGAGATACACCAAAGTCACCCGCCAGGATATCAGGTTCGGTTCTCAGCTGGTACCGCTGCCGATCTGGTCCTTCGGCCTAATTTTCAGAGGCAGGGCATGGCGGGCGATGGGGCACTTCTGGGGGTACCCAATGAACAGAATAACAGAAAAGGTGGGAGGGACCTTGTAGGTCATCTAGTCCAACCCAAAGCCAAAGATAAATTTAATTTCGTTTTAAAGTATTTTAATATTTGTATTGTGTGTTTTTAATTTTGGCTGTTCACCGTCCCGAGTCCTTCGGGAGAGGGGGCGGTATAAAAATTTAAAAAATAAATAAATAAATAAATAAATAAATAAATAAATAAATAAATAATAAACAAACAAACAAACAAACCCCAACCCACCCAAGCAAGAGACCTTAACACCACTTCTGACAGATGGCAGTTCATCTTCTCATATATGGCCTTACTGGTTCCTGCCACTTTCACTTCTCAAGACGTCCCCTCTGGCTCTGCTTTTTTACATGGACGTAGTTAGGTAGGGACGCGGTGGCTCAGTGGCTAAGACGCTGAGCTTGTCGATCGAAAGGTCGGCAGTTCAGCGGTTCGAATCCCTAGTGCCGCGTAACGGGGTGAGCTCCCGTTCCTTGTCCCAGCTTCTGCCAACCTTGCAGTTCGAAAGCAGGTAAAAAATGCAAGTAGAAAAATAGGGACCACCTTTGGTGGGAAGGGAACAGCGTTCCGTGCGCCTTTGGCATTTAGTCGTGCCGGCCACATGACCACGGAGATGTCTTCGGACAGCGCTGGCTCTTCGGCTTTGAAACGGAGATGAGCACCGCCCCCTAGAGTTGGGAACGACTAGCACATATATGCAAGGGGAGCCTTTACCTTTACCTTTCGATAGGTAGGGTATGGATGGTCTCCGATTATTAAATGAAGCGGTCCATGACTGGGATTACGATTGCGGTTACCATTCAGAAGGGAGGTCTCTGACAGACATCTCTTTCTCTTCAAGAATGTAGGACCAAAGGATTATCGACAACACTGGCAGGCAAGGCAGTTTGGTCTAATGGTTAAGGCACTGGGCTAGAAAGTTGGAAGACCATGAGTTCAAATCCTGATGTAGCCATAAAAGCCAGGAATGCGAATGAATGAGTTATTGTTACTGAGAGGGCGCCCACATCTTTTTGTGAATCCTTCCACAATACTCTCCCACACACCCTGTCAATAATTCTGGTTATTGAAGATTATTATTATTATTATATTATTACCATATTTTCTAGCGTATAAGACGACTGGGCATATAAGACGACCCCCGAATTTTCCTGTTAAAATATAGGGTTTGGGCTATACTCGCCGTATAAGACTACCCCTCTTCCAACGCACACCAAATAAAAATTAAAAAACATCAACTGGCTCACCCACAATGTAAAAGCAGCTGTGCTAGACCCAAAATGGCCCCTGCAACAAGCAGGAACCTCACACAGCCACAAAAAGCCCCAAAAGAACAACTTTCACACTTTACACACACAAAATTCCACATACAGCTTTGTGAGATTTTGTGTGTTTGTGTAGTTAGAGTGAAACACTGCAAAAACACACTAAATCTCAGAAAGCTGCACAAATATTATTTTATTTTATTTTATTTTTATTTTTATATGAAAGTTAAATTTAAAGCTTCCTAAACTTTAAATGGCCAGGTCTAAAAAAGAACAACTAAAAAAAAACCCAATTAACTTTTTTTTTTTAAAGCTCCCAAAGGGGAAAAAAAACTTACCCAATAGAACAGGGGTCTCCAACCTTGGCAACTTTAAAACTCGTAGACTTCAACTCCCAGAATTCCTCAGCCAGCTTTGTTTTGCTGGCTGAGGAATTCTGGGAGTTGAAGTCCACAACTCCCTGCCTGCTTGATTGCAGGCAGGGAGTGGCTTGCTGATGGAATGGATTGCAGGCAAGTGAAGCAAGGCAAGCGTTGCGACTAGCAGCTAAGGTAAGCAAGCTGGAGGGGGAAAACTTTTTTCCTTCTCCATGGCTCTGGCGATCCTAGCGGAGTTGCCTGATTAGCAGATCGTCAGGGCTTGGATCGCCAGAGCCATTTAAGGCTCATCAGAGCCTTTCGGGCTGGTCTGCCTGGTTACAGGAGAATGACACCCGGCGTATAAGACGACCCCCGACTTTTGAGAAGATTTTCATGTGTTAAAATGTCGTCTCATACGCCGTAAAATACGGTACATTTACCCTGCTGCCTATCGCATAGAATAACATAAATATCAGGCTGGAAGAATCCAAGAAGAATCTTTGGGGGGGGGGGGCACACTTCTAGTCTAACCCACTTCTGAGGCAGAAAATGCTATACCATATTGGAGAAATGCTTGTCCAATCTTTTCTTGAAAACCTCCAGTGTTGGAGCACCCACAAGTTCTGGAGGCAAGCCGTTAATTGGTATATTAACTGGTTAATTGTTCCCACTGTCAGGAAATTTCTCCTTAGTTCTAGGTTGCTTCTCTCCTTGATTAGTTTCCATCCATTGCTTCTTGTCCTGCCTTCAGGTGCTTTGGAGAATAGGTTGACCCCCTCTTCTTTGGGGCAGCCCCTCAAATATTGTCATATCTCCCCTAATCCACTTAGTTGGGTTAAACATACCTAGCTCCATCAACCATTCGCCATACGCTTCAGCCTGTGAATCCCTTACTATCTTTGCTGCTCTTCTCTGCGCTCATTCTTAGAATCTCAACATCTTTTCTGTCTCTCGCTGTTAAGCAACTGTGGGCAGCTTAGAACACCATAAAAACACTTACTATAAAAGCATTGAAACACGGATAGTGAGCAAGCAAACAAGGATAGTGGACAATTTTAAAATTTTAAATTAAATTTTAAAAATTAAAAAAAATAAATAAATTTGGGGGTTTTATAATTGAGCCAAATATTTAATAATTTTAATAATTTTTAATTTTTGTCTGTCTTTGTGCTTTTAATCAGGCTGTACACCGCCCTGAGTCCTTCGGGAGAAGGGCGGTATAGAAATAAAATAAAATAAAATAAATAAATAAATAAAATAATAAAATAATAAAATAAAATAAAATAAAATAAAATAAAATAAAATAAAAAATAAAATAAAATAAAATAATAAAATACAATAAAATAAAATAAAATAAAATAAAATAAAATAATAAAATAATAAAATAAAATAATAAATAAAATAAAATAAAATAATAAAATAAATAAAAATAAAATAATAAATAAAATAATAAAGTAATAAAATAAAATAATAAAATAAAATAAAATAAAATAAAATAAAATAAAATAAAATAAAATAAAATAAAATAAAATAAAATAATAAATAAATAAAATCTCAGTTTAACCCCGCAGGTTCATTAGTCCACCGGCTGCTTCTTAAAACTGGTCCTCCCTCTCTATTCCTCCCTTCCTCCATCCTCAAACAGGGAATATGCCAGTGCAAACCTGAGCATCAATTTGTACATCGTCAACGAACCGTGGCTGTATTCCCTTCTCTGGTGCATGGGGGTCGAGTCCATCACCTCCGACAACTCGCAAGTTCTCCTTCGGCTGCCTTCCCCCCTCTGGCTGATGGTAAGTGGATTTATATGTTATATATTCAGAATAGAGCCGGAAGGGACCTCGGAGGTCTTCTAGTCCAACCCCCTGCCCAAGCAGGAGACCCTGTACCCGTGATGGCGAACCTATGGCATGTGTGCCACAGGTGACACACAGAGCCATATCTGTGGGCACACAAGCATTGCCCTAGCTCAGCTCCAGTGCTCATGTGTATTTATTTTATTTTATTTTATTAATTTAATTTGTATACCGCCCTTCTCCCAAAAGGGACTCAGGACAATGAACAGCCAAAATTAAAATACATACAATACAAAAGTTAAGATAGTTAAAAGAGATTAAATAAATCGGCCTCCCAATTTAAAACCCCAAGTCTATAAAATTAAAAAAAAAACCCATTAAAAACCCTTTAGGCTAGGCCGGTTTGCTGGTATGCCAGCCAGCTGATTTTTGGCCTTCTGGGTCCACCAGAATTCGGGAAACGGGCTGTTTCCGGCATCCGGGGGAGTGGGGAAGGCAGTTTTTGCCCTCCCCAGACTCCTAGAAAACCTCTGGAGCCTGGGGAGAGCGAAAAATGGGCCTACTGGGCTCACCATGCCAAAAGAGGAGAAAGCACAGGGGGGGCATGCGGGAGGGGGCGGGGCACATGAATTATGGGTGTGCGCACGGACGTGCGTGACCCCGCCCCCCGGCGCTCTCCCTGTTTTTGGCACGTGAAGGCAAAAAGGTTAGCCCTCACTGCCCTATACCATTCCAGACAAATGGCTGTCCAATCTCTTCTTAAAAACTTCCAGTGTTGGAGCACCCACAATTTCTGGTGGCAAGTAGTTCCACTGGTTAATTGTTCCCACTGTGAGGAAATTTCTCCTTAGTTCTGGTTGCTTCTCTCCTTGATTAGTTTCCATCCGTTGCTTCTTGTCCTGCCCTCAGGTGCTTTGGAGAATACCTTGGCTCCCTCTTCTTTGTGGGATTTGTGGCATTTCAATTTCATTTCATTTGTGACTGCTGGTGTTTTTTTCCAAAGGTGCATCGGGTCAAAGCACAGTTTCCAAACCTTAGAAATTAATTTTTATTCTGAAGCTTGAATAAAGGTGGTCCTTTTTTTTTTTATTATTAAATTTATATGCCGCCCTACTCCCGAAGGACTCAGGGCGGTGAACAGGCACAAAATAAAATACATAGATACAAAAGTTAGAAACATAATTAAAACCAGATTAAATAATTTAGCCCGGGACAATTAAAAACCCCAATAATTTAAAACAGATTAAAATTTCGATTTAAAAGAATTTTAAAACAGGGGAGAAAATTAGGCCAGGCCGGCTTGCTGGAATAGGAGGGTCTTAAGAGCACGGCGGAAAGTGCGCAGATCCGGGATCCTCCGTATCTCTGGGGGGAGCTCATTCCAGATAGGTTGTAGATAGGTCCTTGATTTACAACCATTCGTTTAGTGACCGTTCAAAGTTGCAAGGCACTGAAAAAAAGAGACTTATGACCGTTTTCCAACACTTTTCACAACCGTTGCAGCATCCCCACCGTCACACGCTCAGAATTCAGCCGCTTGGCAACTTGACTCCTATTTATGACGGTTGCAGAGTTACGTGATCCCCTTTTGCGACCTTCTGACAAGCCAAAGCCCATGGGGAAGCCAGCTTACCTAACAACCGGGTTACTAACTTAACAACTGCAGTGATTCACTTAACGACTGTAGCAAATAAGGTTGCAAAATGGGACAAAACTCCCTTAACAAATGTCTCGCTTGGCCACAGACATTTTGGACTCTGTTGTGGTCGTAAGCTGAGGACTACCTGCACTTGGACCACCAAATGGGAAGAGAAGACCCTCTTTTCTGAGGATTTCAAGGCCGAGTCCAACCAACTTGAGGATTGTCGGTTATGGTTTTTAGCAGCGTTAAGAGCGCCTTCCTGCTGTACTTATCGATTTGTTGGGATCGAGCGCCCTCTGCTGGCTATTGACTGCTCTGAACCCACATCTGGATTTCTGGCTGTCCCGGCCTTTCTCCAGAAGTTGTGGGTTCTTCAACTCTTTTTTTTTTTTTAAAAAAGAAAAAATTGGACAACCATTTGTCTGAAATGGTATAGGGCCGTGATGGCAAACCTATGGCACACGTGCCACAGGTGGCACGCAGAGCCATATTAGTGGGCACACCAGCTCAGCTCTGGGGCGTATGCACACGCCGGCCAGCTGATTTTCGGGCCTTCTGGGACCACCAGAAGTAGGGAAACAGGCTGTTTCCTCCCTCTGGAGGGCCTGGGGGTGGGGTGGGGAAGGCCCATTTTTCTTTCTTACCTGGCTCCAGATCCTCTCTGTGTATCTGGGAAGGGCGAAAACAGCCTTCCCCACTCCCTTGGAGGCCCTACGGAGGCTGAAAGGGCCCATTTCCCGACTCCCGGTGGGACAGGGAGTGACGTTTTTTGCTGTCCCCAGCCTCCAGAGACTCTTAGAGAAGCTCCTAGAGACTCCTAGAGGGGCTCTGGAGGCTGGGGACAGCAAAAAATGTCACTTCCTGTCCCACCAGGAGTCGGGAAATGGGCTGTTTCAGGCCTTTGGAGGGCCTCCGAAAGAGTGAGAAAGGCTGTTTTCGCCCTTCCCAGATAAATAGAGATGATCTGGAACCAGGTAAGAAAGAAAAATGGGCCTACCAGGCCATCATGTGCCAGGAACCGGGGGGGGGGGGTCGCATGCACATGCACATGGGCACATGCACGCACGACCCCCCCCGCCCGCCCCCTCTCCTATCACGCGATGGCAAAAAAGTTCGCCATCACTCGTATAGGGTCTCCTGCCTGAATAGAGGGTTGGACTAGAAGACCTCCAAGGTCCCTTCCAACTCTGTTATTCTCTGTAGGTGAATAAACTTAAACCGTTAGAACAGGATTTGTTAGGTCGGGGTGGAGAACGATGGCCCCTTTATGACCTGTGGACTTCAACTCCCAGAATCCCTGAGCCAGCAAGGGGAATTATGGCCCTTTCATGACTTGTGGACTTCAGCTCCCAGAATTGTTAAAATCTTAAAAGCTTTAGCTTGCCTGCGAGTGTCTCTCACAGAGATTTATTATGTGCGTCAGTATCTTTAAAACTTGGCAACTTTTCAGATGTGTGGACTTCAACTCCCAGAATTCCCCTGCCAGTATGGCTGCCTAGGGAATTCTAGGATTTGAAGTCCACATATATTGGCTAGGGAATTCTGGGAGTTGAAGTTCAGACATATTGACTAGGGAATTCTGGGAGTTGAAGTCCACATATCTTAAGCGAAAAAGGCCTGGGTATTAATGCTTAAACCTGACAACCTCTCTGCTCACATTCCCCATATGTTTAGGAGTTTTTTTTAAAAAAAAACCTTTAATTTTTGTTAATTTCTTTCACTTGTTTTTCAGCGTCCAGACGAATACCATCTCATCTGGATAACGGCCGACCTTGTTTCCTTTGTCATAATTGTAGGGATTTTCATCTTCCAGAAGTAAGTAGCACCTACTGATGACTTTGTAATATTATTAGTTTCTTCCCAGCGACGTCTGGAGCCCCTTTGAGGGGTGGTAGCAAAATTCTTCATCGCCTATTTCAATCAGGGAGTAGAAATAGAGGCCAGACTGGTCAGTTCACAGCCACGCAAGGATTTAGCACTTCCAGGGGATAAATAAATTTGTAGAGTATTACAAATTGTGGGGTGCTTGATGGTCTCCGAGCTTACAGACGTTTCATCACCCAAGTAGGTAACAACATCAGCGTAGAAGGGAGTGGGTGTTGCTCTCTGTTTATAGACAAGTGGCTTGCCCTATCGGTGAGGGTATTCTTGTTCCTAGTTGTGGTGTTTCTGGGGGTCCCTCATATAAGTCGTTCCTATATAAACAGAGAACATACCCCACCCACTTATAACGCTGATAATGTTACATAGTTGGGTCATGGAACGTCTGCAAGGAAACAACCAAGCTCAGAGAGCACCAAGGACCCCACGATTCAACCCTGAGCTACAAATATTCTCTTCCAGGGACAAATACTTTTCTGTCCTGCTTCCAAGATCCAGATGCCTTAAGGTGGGCCTTTTCACCCTTTTCCCCAAGTTGCTGAAAAGTAAGTTTAAGGTTCTCGCCTTAATTTCTTGCCTTCAGTGTACAAAACAAAACTTTTTTTAAAAAAAACATACAACTTGGAGAAAAGAAGCTGAAAAGAGAGGGGGGGAAAAAACTTGCAGACAGTTTTAAAGAGAGGACACAGCAAACGGCCAGAAAAGCAAAATAAATCCATTGGTTTAATGTTGGGCAGATTTGGGTTAAATAAAAGTATCAGTAAGCTCCTGAGCTTCGGGAGAAAATTATCATGCCTTTTTAAAGGCCTAGAGGTGGAGCTCTTGCCTCACAATCAGGAGGTTGTGAGTTCAATCCTAGGTAGAGGCAGATGTAAGGTCTCCTGCTTGGGCAGGGGGTTGGACTAGATGACCTATAAGGTCCCTTCCAACTTTGTTAATCTGTTTTTTTTTTTTTAAAAAAAAGGTACTTTGACAAGAGATTATGGCATCATGGCTGGCTGGGGAATTCTGGGAGTTGAAGCCCACCCGTCTGAAAGTTGCCAAGGTTGAAAAAAAACACCAGTTGCATAGCCCAAGCCTAGGATTTATTAAAAGGGATTGATACAGGGGGAAAGAAATTCTCCCGATTGTTTCAAACAAACTTAAAAATAACTTTGCCCTCAATCTTAAAAGATTCCAGGGAAAGAATATCAGAATTTCAAAGCACGTGGTTTTAGTGGCCTCTTGATTTTTAATTAATCAAATGTGTTTTATTTATTTTGGGCATATGGCCATCGACTTCCAGTAACTCTGGACGGTTTACAAATGGTTAAAAACGTTGGAAACCAAGAAAATCACAGCAAAACATTCTTTAGTAGAGAATATTCGTAGCTCAGGGTTGAACTGTGGGGTTCTTGGTGCTCTCTGAGCTTGGCGGTTTTCTTACAGACGTTTCATGACCTAAATAGGTAACATCATCAGTGCTATTTTTTTTAAAAAAATTATTTATATGCCGCCCTTCTCCGGAGACTCAGGGCGGCCTACAATGCGTTAAGCAATAGCCTTCATACTTTTTGTATATTTATACAAAGTCAGCTTATTGCCCCCACAAACTGGGTCCTCAATTTACCCACCTTAGAAAGGATGGAAGGCTGAGTCGACCTTGAGCCTGGTGAGATTCGAACTTACAGTAATTGCAGACAGCTGGTGTTAATCACAATGCTTTCTATCTGCAGAGCCACCAGGCCCCATGGTGCTAGAAGGGAGCAGGGTTTGCTTTCTGCAAGCAAGCCACTTGTTTATAAACAGAGAGGAAACTCTATTCTCTTCTGGCATGGATGATGTTACTTAGTCGGGTCATGAAAAGTCTGCAAGAAAACAAGAGATCCCAGAGAGCACCAAGGACTCCACCCCCCCAAAAAATCTTCATTTACAGATCTTTATTCATGGCAGAAATAGCCAATCCCAATGGGAATAAAGAGAAGGTGGGGGGAAGGAGTTTTTAATCACCCTTTCCAAAATCCTGGGGTGTCTTTAGGGTGTCCGTCTTGAAAATGCCAATAGGGGTGGGGGTGCCCGTTGGAATTTCTGGGTTATTTTCTTACTGCTCTGACATTTCTCTGCATGTCCTTTCCTCTTTCTTCTCCCTCTTTCTGCTGCTGCATTTCGGCATCTTTACAGCTATCACTTAATCAGGTAATTGTTGGGACCTCCTCCCTCATTTCACCTTCATCTCTAGTTTGGGTTTTCCTATCCACCCCTTAGCTTCCCTGTGAGCGTTGCGGGAAATAGGGAGGGACGGCAAGGCAATGTTGCCAATGTATATATACAGTTGCAAGAAAAAGCATGTGAACCCCTTGGGATTACGTGGAGTTTTGCATGAATTGGTCATAAAATGTGCTCTGAACTTCATCTAAGTGACAACAATAGAAAAACACAGTCTGCTTAAAATAATACTACACAAACATTAGATGTTGCCATGGTTTAATTGAACATAACATGTAAACATTCACAGTGCAGGGAGGAAAAAGTATGTGAACCTTTGGGCTTAATAACTGGTTGACCCCCCCTTTGGCAGCAATAACCTCAACCAAACGTTTCCTGTAGTTGCAGATCAGACCTGCACAACGATCTGGAGTAATTTTGTGAAGAGGAGTGGTCCAAAATTACTCCAGATCGTTCACATACTTTTTCCTCCCTGCACTGTGAATGTTTACATGTTATGTTCAATTAAACCATGGCAACATCTAATGTTTGTGTAGTATTATTTTAAGCAGACTGTGTTTTTCTATTGTTGTGTCTTAGATGAAGTTCAGAGCACATTTTATGACCAATTCATGCAAAACTCCACGTAATCCCAAGGGGTTCACATGCTTTTTCTTGCAACTGTATATGTTGAATGCTCCAACACTGGAAATTTTTAAGAAGAGGTTGGATAACCATTTGTCTGAAGTGCTGTAGGGTTTCCTGCCTGGGCAGGGGGTTGGACTAGAAGACCTCCAAGGTCCCTTCCAACTCTGTTATTCTATTTCTATTTCTATATATTGCATAAAGATTTGCATTTTCTGCACACAGCAGAAGCAATCAGGTCTCTGCTTTCCACCGAGTTGAACTCTTTCGTCCATCTCACCCAGCTTTTTTCAGAGCTGCTGCCCTCCAGTTAAGGTTGGACACCAAGCCCCATCATCCCCACCAGCTCTCCACCACTGGCATCCACTTGGTTGGTTACGACTTCCCAGGGGTCACATTTGGGAAGGGGCGCTCGCTGTCTCGTATATTTATTGGGGCGCTTTGAAGCAAATCTCTACAACAAGTCAGAGGGAGTGTAAAAAAATGAAGAGAGAGACTGGATGGCTTGGGAAGGCTTCTATAGGATCCTCGTTTTCTAAGGTTTTCTGCTTGCAAAGAGTTAATTCCGGGAGGAGAGAGCAACCCTAACCCAATAGTCCCAGGACAGCTTCAGTCTTGATGCTGCAAAGGTGAACCTCGCTTTCGGAGACACGACATGCAAACATGGGCCACAACTTGGTTTCTCCTGGATCTATCCTGTGTGGTTGATCCCTCAGCCTTCGTTCTTGATTAGCCAAGATTTGCAACTTCAACCAGAAAACAAAAGGCAATTGACTGAATGCGTTCAATTTCATTTCGCTCGGGGCAATTAATTTTATTTTTGATTTTATTATTTTACTTATATCCTGCCTTCATTATTTTTGCAAAGAACTCAAGGCAGCAAGCATATCCAATGCGCCTTTGCTCTTCCTAGTTTCCCTGCAACAACAACCCTGTGAAGTAGGTTGGACAGGAGAGAGAGAGAGAGAGAGAGAGAGAGTCTGCCCCAAAATCACCTTGCTGACTTTCATGCCTAAGGCAGGACTAGAACTCACTTTCTCCTAGTGATTGGCCCAAAGTCACCCAGTCATTTTTTTTCATGGCTAAAGCGGGACTAGAACTCACCGTCTCCTAGTGATTGGCCCAAAGTCACCCAGTCATTTTTTTTTCAGAGGCTAAGGCGGAACTAGAACTTACCTCCTGATGATTAGCCCAAAGTTACCCAGCTGATTTTCGTGCCTAAGGCAGGACTAGAACTCACCGTCTCCTAGTGATTGGCCCAAAGTCACCCAATTCATTTTTTTTCATGGCTAAGGCGGGACTAGAACTCATTTTCTCCTAGTGATTGGCCCAAAGTCACCCAGCCGACTTTCATGGCTAAGGTGGGACTAGAACTCACTGTCTCCTAGTGATTGGCCCAAAGTCACCCAGCCGACTTTCATGGCTAAGGCGGGACTAGAACTCACCGTCTCCTAGTGATTGGCCCAAAGTCACCCAGCCGACTTTCATGGCTAAGGCGGGACTAGAACTCACCGTCTCCTAGTGATTGGCCCAAAGTCACCCAGCCGACTTTCATGGCTAAGGCGGGACTAGAACTCACCGTCTCCTAGTGATTGGCCCAAAGTCACCCAGTCATTTTTTTTTCATGGCTAAGGTGGGACTAGAACTCACTGTCTCCTAGTGATTGGCTCAAAGTCACCCAGTCATTTTTTTTTTCCAGAGCTAAGGCGGGACTAGAATTCACCTCCTGATGATTAGCCCAAAGTCACCCAGCCAATTTTCATGCCTAAGGCAGGACTAGAACTCACTGTCTCCTAATGTTTGGTCCAAAGTCACCCAGCCGACTTTCATGGGTAAGGCGGGACTAGAACTCACCGTCTCCTAGTGATTGGCCCAAAGTCACCCAGTCATTTTTTTCATGGCTAAGGCAGGACTAGAACTCACTGTCTCCTGGTGATTGGCCCTAAGTCAACCAACAGGCTTTAATGGCTAAGATCGGATAGGAGTAGAATTTTAAAAAATATGACTATTTATTTATTTAGTAAATTTGTATGCTGCCCATCTGTGGATCAGGGGCCTTTGCTGCCCTGAAATTCTTGGCCTTTTTCTGAGCTGATGGAATTTCTGGATCCAGGAGCAGCCTAAGACCGGTGCATCCCTCCAAGACACCGGATTTTGCTGAGTGAGGAAGATAACGCTCAACTGCAGCTATCCGCAACAAAATACACATACAAGTAGTCCTTGGTTTAGGACCAGAAGCTCCATTGCTTAACAAGGTGGCTGCTAAGTGAGTCGCATCATATTTTATGACCTTCTTTGCCACAGTTATTAAGCAAATCACGGCAGCTGACGATGGGGATGCTGCACCGGTCCTAAACGTGAAGACCAATTACAACTCACTTTTTACAGTTGTAAATGTGAACAGTGGCTAAACGAATAAGTTGAGGACTACCTATAATATCATAAGAGATTTTTTTGTTCTACAATTTTTGCCCTTTCTTTACACGGACTGGTTGTAATCACACTGTGGCTTGAAATCTTGACTCCCCCCTTATTTTTTTTTCCCCAAGGCTGAAGGTTAGGTGGGGAGATATATGCCCAGACCATCATCTTCCTCCCGTCTCATCCAGGCTGCCTCTGTGGACATCTGTGCTTTCTCCATGTTCCTGGCATCACTTCTCTCTTTTCTTCATCTTTGCAAAAATCAGCTCTTCTTCTTTTCTTTTCTTTTCTTTTTTGACTTTGCCAAACAGGGCAGGGTTGATAAACAGAAGGGCGGAGAGAATTTTGAGCTAGGGTATTTTACAGTGATGGTCTTTTAAGTGGCATGGAGGGCTTGGCGTCAGTAGAAAAGCAGCTCTCCCTCTCAGTTTCAAAGAGCAGTGACTTATTTTTTGGGGGGTGGGGTGTTATTTGCTTGTTTTTCTTCTCCGCAGAGGAGGTGTAATCAAAGCCACAGTCCAGCAACATTGGGGTGGAAGGGAGAATTATAACTTCCATCCCACAGTTCTTAATTTTGGGATTACTTCCGATTTTAAAGTCCTAATGGAGTTTAGAATCCATCATTCGCCCTGATTCTACCCCGAAATAAGGGATTAAAAGGGAGGGTTTTTTTAATGAGAGAGGGACGGTTATATATATGGTGAAACAACAGTCCTGTTTTCCCTATTCTATTATCAAAACTTTTGATGCAGGCTAATAGGACATCGGTGTTCACTTGGGGCCCAAGGTAGCCCCAGTTATAGGTAGTCCTCGACTTACAACCACAATTGAGCCCAAAACTTTTATTGCTAAGCAAGACAGTTGTTCAGTGAGTTTTGCTCCATTTTACAACCTTTCTTGCCCCTTGTTGTTAAGTGAATCTTGGCTTCCCCATTGACTTTGCTTGTCTGAAAGTTTTAAATGGGGATCACATGATTCCCGGGACATTGCAACCGTCATAAATACATGCCAGTTGTCAAGCCTCTGAAGTTTGATCATGTGACCATTGAGAGGCTGCAACAGTCATACATGCAAAAACTGGTCACAAGTCACTTTTTTCAGCGCCGTTGCAACCTGGAACGGTCACTAAACAAAACTGTTGTAAATCGAGGACTACCTATACAAGATGGGTAACATGGATCGATTTAATAAGTAACCCAGATAGGGCAGATAGGCTCTGTGTATCAATGATCCAGATTTGAGGGGGACAGGGAATATTTGGAGGGGGCGCCTGCATGTACCCCCCCAACTCACCAGCGACACCTTAAAAGCGGCTGCCGTTGTGCGAAGGCAGTCAGGTGATCCCTGATGCCCATGGGGCACCTTGTACACTTCAAACCACGTTTTTTCCTCTTTAAATCTGGATTTTTGGCCTACCGACTGTGTGTTACGTGATTGCATCACCCACAAGTCCCCCTTTGTGTATGCGGCATCTCTTGTGTTTTGTGTTAGGTTTTACTGCATGTTTTTATTTATTGGTTTCTTTGTGGTGTGGGTGTCTCATCTTAAGGGCCCTCGGGGACAAGGAGAGTTTTGGGATCCCTGGCCTTTTATTATATATCATTTATTATATATCATTTTTATTATATATCATTTTATTATTATATCATTGTCAGAATGTTTACAGCGTAACTGCTATTTTGAGACAACCTAGGAGCAAAATACAGGACACAGCAGGGGTGAAATCCAGCAGGTTCGGACAGGTTCTGGAGAACCGGTAGCAGAACTTTTGAGCCGTTCGGAGAACCGGCAAATACCACCTTTGGCTGACCCCGGAGTGGGGTGGGAATGGAGATTTTGCAATATCCTTCCCCCAGGAGTGGGGAGGGAATAGGGATTTTGTAGTATCCTTCCCCTGGAATGGGGTGGGAATGGAGATTTTGCAGTATCCTTCCCCGGCCGCGCCCACGAAGCCATGCCCACAGAACCGGTAGTAAAAAAAAATTGGATTTCACCACTGGGACACAGTGGTTTTGTCATTACAAACAGTGGTTTATATACAAGACTTCTATATACAGACATACATGTGGTAGGCACATACCAGGCAAGCAAGCAATCTTCAACTCTCTACACAGAGAACTACAATTTAATTACAATTTAATAATACAATAATAATAATACAATCAATAATAATACAACTACAATTTAATAATTGTAATGGATTTTTAATGTTTGTATTATCTGTATTTTATCTTGGCTGTTCACCGCCCTGAGTCCTTCGGGAGTAGGGCGGTATAGAAATTTGATAAATAAATAAATAAATAAATAAACAATGCAGATAGAACACAAGAAGAGAGAGAGAGACACGCCCTCTAATGGCCTCCCTTATATAGACAGCTTCTTAAAGGGGCAATAACCCTGCTGACTCATCCTTGGTCTTAAAGGGGCAATTACCTGATCAGCTTTAAATCATCATTTACTCTTGACAACTATTCTGTCCTGTCCTTTCTCCAGAACTCGGAACAGCAAACATAACATTTCCTCTCCCAGTTTTACCCTATTGCAAACCCTGCAAGGTAGGCTGGGATTGGGACATTGGGAGTGTCCAAGGCTCAGGGTAGATTGGAACTCGAGTTTTTTCCAACCTGAAGCATTTCAAACATTTATTTTATTCCAACAAAAAAAAGAATATGGCTGCCCATCAGAGCAGGATAATATTTATTCTGAGTAGTGGCATTGTAGTAGAATGCAATATCTTAATCACAGTAGTATTTGAAAAGCAGGATTAGCAGTAGCAATACCGTAAGGATAATGTTGTTTATTTTATTTACATATTAGATTTATATCCCGCCTTTATTACCAAGCAACTCAAAGCAGCGAACATATCCAACCCTCCTTCCTTCTCCTTTTTCCCCCCTGCAACAACCACCCTATGAGGTGGGTTGAAGGGAGAGAGAGGGACTGGCTCAAAGTCACCCAGCCAGCTTTCATGCCTAAGGCAAGACTAGAACTCACGGTCTCCTGGTGATTGGCCCAGAGTCCACAAGTCTTAAAGTGGCCAAGTTTGAAAACTGGGGAATTCTGGGAGTTGAAGTCACAAATCTTATAGTGGCCAAGTTTGGAGACTGGGAGAATTCTGGGAGTTGAAGTCCACAAGTCTTAAAAGTTACCACGTTTAGATCCCCTGTTCTAGAACAAGGCATAGCAGAAGTGGATTTCCCTTTGAGCGACTAAAAAAGGGGAGCCGCAGCGGTCCCCCTGAATCCCGCTTCCAAAATGGAGACAAGACGGAGGACTGGATGTGTCTTTTTGCGCCATTTTATTCCAAGCGTGCCTCTCCAGGCCCTTCTGGAGGAGGAATTATTTTCCTACAAGAGTGGGCTTCAAAATTTTTAGCAAGGAGTTCTCTGCCCGGTTGCTGGGTGGGTGTGGCCATGGTGGGTGTGGCCTAGTTGGCCTCCTGCACCACGGTGGGAGGGGGGCGTTTTTGCCCTCCCCGGGCTCCGGAGGTTTTTCTCGAGCCTCCGGGAGGGCGAAAACGGCCTCCCCAGGCTCCGGAGGCCATCCTGAACTTCCGGTAGGCCCGTTTTTCGCCCTCCACGCGCACCCTGCACTTGCCTGCATCCAAAATGGGCCGCGTGGGGACTCCTGGGAGGGGAGGGGCAGGGTGGGCGGGGCCAGCCAGGAGTGGGATTTGGGAGTTCTCCAAACTGCACAGAATCTTAGCTAGAGGTTCGCCCGAACCGCCAGCAGCCCAGCCTTGTTTTCCTAGCTTGGAAAACCGGCTCCTGGTTTTAAAACCTTTGCCCCTTCCTTGCAAGGGGCAGAGAGGCGTTGCTTGCCAATCGAGAAGGGGGCAGAGGGCAGGCTTCCCAGAGCTGCCCACAAAGGCTCAAAACAGTCAAGACGGCAGTTGGCCATTGTGTGGTGTGCGGTGTTAAAAAAAAAAAAAATAACACGGGTGCGGTGGGTCGCTCCTCGGGCGGGCCTGCCATTCCCCGATCCAGTAAGATCCTCTTCAAACGAGAACCTTTCCGTTTTCCGCTTCTGCTCCCAGGTGGCGCTTCGGTAGCATTCGCACCTACAACCCGGAGCAGATCATGCTCAGCGCTGCCGTCCGGCGATCCAGCCGCGAAGTCAACATCATGAAGGAAAAACTCATATTTTCCGGTAAGAGCTGAGGGCGCTTTTGCAACCTGATTTTTTTTGGGGGGTGTCGTTTAATTCCGTGTGTTTCCGTGTTTACTTGTCGGCAGGGTGGATTTGATTTAAATCGAGTCGATTTAAATCACAATTTAAATCACGATTTAAATCATTGGTAAAAAGGCTTGATTTAAATCAACTCGATTTAAATCATGATTTTTAAAGAGCAACTGTCATCTCTGCTACTCCTTTGACCCACTGTTGACTCACCGGTAGTCCCAGGGTTGCAGAATATACAGCCTCCTGCTACATAACTAAGCTCCATTTCATGCTGAATAAACTAAATTATTTATGTATCCTAAATAGAAAACTATCTTACGATAAGATTTTTACCCCCAAAGTTTTTTATTAAAATAAATTCGATAAAAATAAAAAAAAATCCGATTTAAATAAAAAAAATCTGATTTAAATAAAAAAAAATCTGATTTTTTTGATTTTGTTTTAAAAAAAATCATTGATTTTTATCCACCCTGCTTGTCGGGTTTAGTGAACTGCTTGCGCGACAAGCGTGCTTTTTAAAATTACAGGTGGTCCTCGCTTAACGACCGTTCAGTTAAGACAGCCCTGAAAAAAAATGAGACTTACATCCGGTCTTCACACTGAACGACTGCCGCAGTTCCCCTGCAGACACAGGCTTGTGATTTCGTCACAATTTGGCAGCCATCAAATATTATCACATCAACCTGGGGTCACGTTAACCTCCCTTGGGGATCTTCCCAGACAAGCAAAATCAGCGGGGATGCCTGAAGGGGAAGATCACAAGTCATGTCTCGCTTAACAACTGCATCACTTAACGACACATTTCCCAGACCCCCATTGTGGTCGTAAGTCAAGGACCACCTGTAATTTGTTTTTATTTTATTTTATAAATGAAGGCACTTTCTAGAAAGAGGATGAAACAAGGGTTTGTTTCAATTTTGGCATTTCGAGTTTAGGGAAAATTCAAAAGGAATGTTTTGGGGGGGGGAGGGGAAAAAAATCCACAGTTTTTCCAACAATAGAGTTGAACTTTATTGCTTCTAAAAAAAAAAATGCCGATTATAATTTCATAAAGAAGTCAGCCAAAGAGAGAAAGTGAGTTTATCTACATTGTATAATTTGGTGAACAGCTGCCTGTCTGGATGCTTTAACTGGCATTTCTGTATTGGGCAGGGGGGGGTTGGACTAGATGGCCTCTGGGGACCTTTCTCAATAAGGAATCTTTTCTTTATTAAGAAAATTAAGTTAAAATTTTAATTTAGAAAAAAGTAATTTTCTAAATTAAGAAGATTTCTGGGGGGGGGTGGAATTCCAATTCAGCCTCCCACTCCCCATCCAAGTTGGGCTCTAACTGTCCTCTGTCTCTAGCCAGCTGTAGATCACAGTAGATCGGAAGGGACCTAAGAGGTCATCTAGTCCAGCCCCTTGTTCAAAAAAGAACTGACATCCTGGAGAGATGACCTTCCCCTCCTCACTCGGAAAACTTCAACTCCAGAAAAACTTGCCAGTTCAGATGGCATCCCGTTCCGCCGCCTAACATCTCGTAAGGGGCGAGCGGATTAAGAAATCATTTCCCCAATCAATAAAAGCGAAGCAAAAAACCCAAATTCCTCTTAATGCAATTCACCTGCCGGTTGTTTTGACGGCGCTGTATTCGAATCCTGGGTGTGGGGTTTTCCCAGAAAAGAAACCGTGAGAAACAGCCAAATTGCGAGGTCCTTGGCGATCACTGAAGTTGGTTGTTTATTTATTTATTTTTATTTTATTTTGATTTATATGCCGCCCTTCTCCGGAGACTCAGGGCGGCTTACAGTGCGTTAAGCAATAGCCTTCATACTTTTGTATATTTTTATACAAAGTCAGCTTATTGCCCCCACAATCCGGGTCCTCATTTCACCTACCTCGGAAGGATGGAAGGCTGAGTCAACCTTGAGCCTGGTGAGAATCGAACTCGCAGTAATTGCAGGCAGCTGGATGTTAAATGCTGCCTTAGTAGGAGGCATTAGCCTCCTACGCCACTCAGGCTCAGTTTCTTGCAGACGTTTCATTACCCAACTAGGGAACATCATCAGCGCTAAACTAGTCTTAAGTCGGGTAATGAAACGTCGGCAAGGAAACCCCCCAAACCTCAGGAGAGCACCGAGAACCCCTCAAATGTCAACCCCGAGCTATAAAGATTCTCTTTTCATCAGCCAACTTGTGCTTTGAACAATGTCTTGCAGGTTCTAGCCTCTAGAGGGCGCCAGGCTCCCAGACTTGGGGGTTTCCTTCAGCCTGGAGCGTAAGTGAGCTTTCAAAGGCTGGCATTAACCACAGCAGCACGGTGACGGAGGTGGGGGGGCAACAGGAAGGGGCCAGGGGGCATCGTGGCTTGCTTTTATCACTTGGGGAAGTTGGCACTAACCTTCACGCTTTTCCTCCATCCCGGATCCTTCCCCGATTCCGGTGTTGCACCTTTGATCCCGGGGGCTGGATCGGAGCGGCCGTCCACTTCGCTCTTCCTCTGGGAGGCGGGAGCAAAAGGGGCGGACGGATCTCAGAGGGATTCCCACAACCTCGTGTGGCTGTGTTGGCACACCCGAGGGAGAGGCCTTGGGCACGCAGGGAAAGTCCCGGTGGTTCCCGATAAAGGGGCTTTGGGTCAGGGGGTCTCGCTCTCGGCTTGGAACCCATCCCGGCCCTGAAGGTCCTTCAGATGGCTGGGACTTTGAAATGGGAGCCTCTCCTTCTCCCTTTCCTCTCCTCTCCTCCCTTTCCCTCTCCTTCTCCTTCTCCCTTTCCCTCCCCTCCCTCTCCTCTCCATCTGCTCCTTCTCCATTTCCTCTCCTCCTCCCTTCCCCTCCTCCCTTTCCTCCCCTCCTCTCTCCTCTCCTTCTCCTTCTCCCTTTCCCTCCCCTCCTCCTCCTTTTCACCTTTCTCTCCCTTTCCCTTCCCTCCCTCTCCTTCTCCCTCCCCTCCCCTCCCTCTTCTCCTTCTCCCTTTCATCTCCTTCTCCCTCCCCTTCCCTCCCTTCCCCTCTCCTCCCTTTCCTCCCCTCCCTCTTCTCCTTCTCCCTTTCATCTCCTCTCCTTCTCCCTTCCCTGACTCCCCTTCTCCTCCCTCTCCTCCACTCCCCCTCCTTCTCCCTTTCATCTCCTTCTCCCTCTCCTCTCCGCCCTTTCCTCCCCTCCCTCTCCTCTCCTTCTCCCTCCCCTTCCCTCCCTTCCCCTCTCCTCCCTTTCCTCCCATCCCCTTTCTTTCTCCCTCCCCTCCTCCCCTTCTCCTTTTCTCCCCCTCCCTAACCTCCCCTCTCCTACCTTGCCTCCCCTCCCTCTCCTTTCCTTCTCCCTTTCCTCTCCTCTCCTTCTTCTCCTTCTCCCTTTCCCTCTCTTCCTTCTCCTTTTCACCTGTCTCTCCCTTTCCCTTCCCTCCCTCTCCTTCTCCCTCTTCTCCCCTCCTTCTCCCTTTCATCTTCTTCTCCCTCTCCTCTCCTCCCTTTCCTCCCCTCCCTCTCCTCTCCTCCCTCCCCTTCCCTCCCTTCCCCTCTCCTCCCTTTCCTCCCGTCCCCTTTCTTTCTTTCTCCCTCCCCTCCTCTCCTCCCCTTCTCCTTTTCTCCCCCTCCCTAACCTCCCCTCTCCTACCTTTCCTTCCCCACCTTCTCCTTTTCATCTCCTCTCCTTCCTCCCCTCTCCACCTCCCTCTCCTCTTCTTTCCTCCCCTCCCATCTCCTTCTCCCCTTACTCTTCTCTCTTCCCCTCTCCTCCCTCCCTCCCTCCCTCTAAATTGAGGACTACGGTAGCTACCCTTGAAATCCGTCTGCCGTTCTTGCTCCTTGCCCTCTCTGGTGTCGGTGCAGAACCGCCAGTACTGATCCCTATAATCCCAGCATCCCACACTTTCCCCTCCTGTTTTGATTTCGGACTCGCCTATTTCCTCCCGCTTGTTGATTGATGCCACTTCCTGGCTCCCTTTTCCCACCTTTTCAGAAATCAACAGCGGCCTCGAGGCGACGGACGGATTCTCCTTGTGTTCGGAAAACGGCTACGCCAACGAGGTCGTCACTCCCATTGACCACCGGGAAGGGAAGCTACGGATTAACTGACGGAGGGAGGGGAGGGCAGTGGGCAAGATCCGGGGGGGGGTCTCTGTGACTCCCCGGGGGGGGAGTCTGTGCTCCTTTTGTCGAAACTCCTAAAGCAAAAAAAAAAAAAAAAACTTTGTGTGGGCGGCCTGGAGCCTCTCTGGAAACTGAAGCTGGGCTGGGTTTCTTTATTATTATTATTATTGTTATAATTATAATTATTTTGTAAAGTTTGTCCCCCTTTTTTTGTGATCCTTTTCCTGCCCGCCGTGGGCAGCGGGAACCGGCCCATAAGTCAGAGGCAGGTGAGCCATTGGCATGGGGACTCTCCCCCACCCCCCCCGGCTGGACCACGAGCTGAGATGCTGGCCAGGTTCAGCAGAGAAGGACCCTACCCATAACCCCCAACCCCCCCCCCCCACAACTCCTCAACTCCTTTCCTTGGGACAGCAATTGCTAGCCGACTTTATTTAAAAATGTATGTTGTGAAAAACCCTCACATTGTGCCTGTGTCTTCATTTGTGTGTATTTCGGGGGGGGGGTGGAGGGGGAAAGGTTTCACCTAAGCAGCTTGTGTAGAGCATCCATGTCAGAGGAGGCACGCAGGCGGGAGGCTGAAAACGATTGGGACAATTTACTAGGCAGTCCTCGACTTACAACCATTCGTTTAGTGACCGTTGGAAGTTACAGCAGCACCGGGGCGATCAGAATTGGCAACCGGACTCGTATGGATGACGGTTGCAGCGGTCCCGGAGTCACACCTTCTGGCGACCTCGTGATGAGCAAAGTCAATGGGGAAAGCCGGATTGGCTTAATGTTGTGACCCAGGCCCACGTAGTTGATATTAAATACAAACAGTTCCCAAAAAAACAAACAGATTTTATTAAAAACAGCTGAGAATTAACTCATTCTCAGCGTATTCTAAAGGAAATGAAAGCAAAGTCCTCAAAACGCCAGTCTTCAGTTTATCTCTGACCTTGGGATAATTGGGCAACCTGCCAAAGGCTTTTCTTGGCAACAGTTCAGGAACCGAAGAAATAACTACAGCCAGAAGCAATTCTCTCAACGGTTGTTTTCCGGCAAAGAGGCCAAGAGCCGTTGCTGGTCTTTTAAGCCTTCTGGGAGGGGCCAATCATCTCCTGGCCTTACTCCTGAGTTGTCCCTTTTGCTTTAGCTGCTCCTGCCTTCTGGCAGCTCTTCTCATGCGTGCACTAGGAACAGGCTCCTCCTGTTCCTCTGCCTCTCTGCTGTCAGCCTCTGGAGGCTCCGGAGTCTGCGCATCACTCCCCGATGGCCCTGGCCCCATCTCTGCCTCCGACGCAGAGCCCTCGTCCGGGCCTCCCCCAGACTCCAGGACTGGCCCATGATCCTCCCCGGCCTCCTCACTGTCGGACTCCGCTGCCAGCTCCGCAGGCTGCTGGCGGACCACAACAACCGTGTTATTAACCTAACAACTGGAATAACTCACTTGACAATGGCAAGAAAGGTCGTAAAATGAGGTGAAACTCACTTAACAGATATTTGGGTCTCAAGTGTGGTCGTAAGTCGAGGACTACCTGTATATTGCAATCCAAAATTGCAGTTGGAAACTTGCATTGTTTATTGACTATTGATGATGTCAGGAAGTGGCGTTGTGTGTTGTGTGTGGAAAATCGAAATGGTAGCCACACAATCAAACCTCCACTAGACAAAGATAGTCCCCGACTTAACAATAGTTCATTTACCAACCGTTCCAAGTTACAACGGTACTGAAAAAAGTGACTTTTGACCGTTTTTCACACTTAACGACCATTGCAGAATCCCAATGGGCATGTGATCAAACTCCAGATGCTTGGCAACTGACTCGTATTTATGACGGTCGCATGTCCCGGGGTCAGGTGATTCCCCCTTTGACAACCTTCAAACAAGTAAAGTCAACGAGGAAGCCAGATTCACTTAGCAACAGTGTTGCAAACTTAACAACTGCAGTGGTTCACTTAACAACAGTGGCAAGAAAGATTGCAAAATGGGGCAAAATTCCCTTGGCAAGTTCTCGCTTAGCCCACAGAAATTTTGGGCTCTACTGTGGTCATAACTCAAGGACTACCTGTACAGGTAGTCCTCAAATTAGCAACAGTTCATTTAGTGACCGTCCAAAGTTACAAGGGCATTGGAAAAAAAAGTGACTTGGGATCATTTTTCACACTTAACAACCTTTGCAGCATCTCCACGGTCACCTGAATCTCGCTCAGCAACAGAAATTGTGGGCTCCATTGTGGTCATAAGTCGAGGACCACCTGTGGACGCACAGCCGGAGGACTGAGGATTGGGGGAGAGAGGGAAGGATGGGGAACTTGCTAGGTGGCACGTCAAAGTCAAGGAAGAAAAATAATATATTTTTTTTCTCCAAAAGGGTAAAAGACCCATCATTTTCCCGCTCCAGATACAGGGAGGAAGTTGGTGCCGGTTGTTTAATGCGCTGGTCACTCAGGAAGGGCCAAAATTGTCTCTGCATTGAATTGCGGATTGCAAAAATGTGTGTACGTACACCAAGACTCACAATGCGGCTGTCAGCGTTTCAACGCTGGCATAGAGAGCAGAGGAGAGCGAGAGATAAACTCTGAAACTTTTGCCTGCTAAATCCCTTTGAAGTCGGGTTGTCGTGGAAATGAGGGGAGGGGGCACATTCCTGGGAAATGACGAGAAAAGAAGTCTGAAGAAGGACTTGGAAGATAGCCAATGAGAAGCAGAGATTTGGGGATCGGAAAGGGAGGGATTGGGGGGCAAAAGGTCAGTCTTGTCCGGGCGGAGTCATGATCCGGTGGCCGTGCTCAATTAAAGAAAAGATTTCCTTAAAGATTGGCAGTTTGGAAATTCATTTAATTTTGAGATAGCATCGTAGTCTGACAGCGGCCCAAACAGCAACACCGTATAGCAGGGGTCTCCAACCTTGGCAACTTTAAGACTTGTGGACTTCAACTCCCAGAGTTCCTCAGGCAGCAAAGCTGGCCCCCCACCCAGTTTAGCAAAGTGGGGGGGGGAAGTCCCGAAACATCATGTGACCCCACCGTGATGCTACGAGTTTGATACCCCTGCCTTATACCATTTCAGGCAAACGGTTGTCCAATCTCTTCTTTAAAACCTCCAATGTTGGAGCACCCACAACTTCTGGTGGCAAGTTGTTCCACTGATTAATTTTTCTCACTAGGAGAAAATTCCTCCTTAGTTCTAGGTTGCTTCTCTCCTTGGTGAGTTTCCATTCGTTGCTTCTTGTCCTGCTCTCTGCTGTTTTTTTTTTTGTTTGTTTGTTTTTAATTTTATTTTATGCCGCCCTTCTCCGGAGCCTCAGGGCGGCTTACAATGCATTAAGCAATAGCCTTCATACTTTTTATATATTTTATACAAAGTCAGTTTATTGCCCCAACAAACTGGGTCCTCAATTTACCTACCTTAGAAAGGATGGAAGGCTGAGTCGACCTTGAGCCTGGCGAGATTCGAACTTACAGTAATTGCAGACAGCTGGAGTTACATTACAATGCATTAGTCTTCTGTTCTGTTTTGGAGAACAGAAGAGAATAACGAGTCGGAAGGGACCGGTGGCAGGCAGAGCCATATCGGTGGGCCCGTGACCTCATCTCCATCGCACATGTGCACGCCAGCCAGCTGACTTTCGGGCCTTCTGGGCCCACCGGAAGTCAGGAAGCAGGTTGTTTCTGGCCTCCGGGGTGGATGGGGGGAGAAGGCCCGTTTTTTGCTCTCCCCAGGCTCCAGAGCCTTTCTAGGAGCCTGGGGAGGGTGAAAACGGCTTTCCCCACCACCTAGAGGCCCTCCAGAGGCCAGAAACAGCCCGTCCGGTGTGTGTGTGTGTGTGTGTGTGTGGGAAAGGCCGTTTTCGCCCTTCCCAGGCTCCTAGAAAGGCTGTTGTGGCTCCGTTGCCTGAGCCTGGGCTATCGACAGATGCAGACTCTGAGAGTGAGGGAGAGGAGTTGGCAAGGCCTCCCTCTCCAGGACCCTCCTCTCTGGCAATGCCTCCGGAGGACACCGAAGGCCAAAAGATAGGCTCAGAGCCAAGCACGTCCCCGCAGCCACAGGTGGACAGCGACGAAGAAGATAAGTGCTGGCTGGACCCTCGGCAGAGGCGCAGGGAGAAGCGTGCGCAGCAGAGGGGAAGGCGTGCCAGAGATTAGCTGAGTCACTGGACCACACCCCACAGGGTATAAATGTGGGTGTGGTGGCCGGTTCAGTTTGTGACGAGCAAAAACTGGAAATAATCCATGATCTCTGCATTACTGGACTTTGCCTGCTTTATCGGACTGCATTTGGATTAATCCTTGTATTGTTGAAACTCTGCCTGTTTTATCGGAATGCTTGCAGTCTAATCTTTGTTTTGTGTGAGTAAAGTCTGAATTGGCAGCTAGCCACTGGGTTGCTGCCAGCTTTATCTTCAAAGAGTTTTGTCGTGTGGCTTATTAACTCCGGGCCATCTGTGGGGATGCGTGTGTGGGACGGGGACAGAACAAAGGCTCTGGAGCCTGGGGAGAGCAAAACACGGGCCTAGTAGGCCCACCGTGCCATTGCATGCCAAAAGCAAGGGAGTCACGGTCACGCGACTGCCCCGTGCTCTCCCTGCTTTTGGCAGGTGATGGCAAAAAGGCTAGCCATCACTGGCCTATACCATTTCAGGCAAATGGTTGTCCAGTCTCTTCTTTAAAACCTCCAGTGTTGAACCACCCACAACTTCTGGTGGCAAGTTGTTCCACTGATTAATTTTTCTCACTAGGAGAAAATTCCTCCTTAGTTCTAGGTTGCTTCTCTCCTTGGTGAGTTTCCATTCGTTGCTTCTTGTCCTGCTCTCTGCTGTTTTTTTTTTGTTTGTTTGTTTGTTTTTAATTTTATTTTATGCCGCCCTTCTCCGGAGCCTCAGGGCGGCTTACAATGCATTAAGCAATAGCCTTCATACTTTTTATATATTTTATACAAAGTCAGTTTATTGCCCCAACAAACTGGGTCCTCAATTTACCTACCTTAGAAAGGATGGAAGGCTGAGTCGACCTTGAGCCTGGCGAGATTCGAACTTACAGTAATTGCAGACAGCTGGAGTTACATTACAATGCATTAGTCTTCTGTTCTGTTTTGGAGAACAGAAGAGAATAACGAGTCGGAAGGGACCGGTGGCAGGCAGAGCCATATCGGTGGGCCCGTGACCTCATCTCCATCGCACATGTGCACGCCAGCCAGCTGACTTTCGGGCCTTCTGGGCCCACCGGAAGTCAGGAAGCAGGTTGTTTCTGGCCTCCGGGGTGGATGGGGGGAGAAGGCCCGTTTTTTGCTCTCCCCAGGCTCCAGAGCCTTTCTAGGAGCCTGGGGAGGGTGAAAACGGCTTTCCCCACCACCTAGAGGCCCTCCAGAGGCCAGAAACAGCCCGTCCGGGGTGTGTGTGTGTGTGTGTGTGTGTGGGAAAGGCCGTTTTCGCCCTTCCCAGGCTCCTAGAAAGGCTGTTGTGGCTCCGTTGCCTGAGCCTGGGCTATCGACAGATGCAGACTCTGAGAGTGAGGGAGAGGAGTTGGCAAGGCCTCCCTCTCCAGGACCCTCCTCTCTGGCAATGCCTCCGGAGGACACCGAAGGCCAAAAGATAGGCTCAGAGCCAAGCACGTCCCCGCAGCCACAGGTGGACAGCGACGAAGAAGATAAGTGCTGGCTGGACCCTCGGCAGAGGCGCAGGGAGAAGCGTGCGCAGCAGAGGGGAAGGCGTGCCAGAGATTAGCTGAGTCACTGGACCACACCCCACAGGGTATAAATGGGGGTGTGGTGGCCGGTTCAGTTTGTGACGAGCAAAAACTGGAAATAATCCACGATCCCTGCGTTACTGGACTTCTGCCTGCTTTATCGGACTGCATTTGGATTAATCCTTGTATTGTTGACACTCTGCCTGTTTTATCGGAATGCTGGAAGTCTAATCTTTGTTTTGTGTGAGTAAAGTCTGAATTGGCAGCTAGCCACTGGGTTGCTGCCAGCTTTATCTTCAAAGAGTTTTGTCGTGTGGCTTATTAACTCCGGGCCATCTGTGGGGATGCGTGTGTGGGACGGGGACAGAACAAAGGCTCTGGAGCCTGGGGAGAGCAAAACACGGGCCTAGTAGGCCCACCGTGCCATTGCATGCCAAAAGCAAGGGAGTCACGGTCACGCGACTGCCCCGTGCTCTCCATGCTTTTGGCACGTGATGGCAAAAAGGCTAGCCATAACTGGCCTATACCATTTCAGGCAAATGGTTGTCCAGTCTCTTCTTTAAAACCTCCAGTGTTGAACCACCCACAACATCTGGAGGCAAGTAGTTCCACTGATTAATTTTTCTCACTAGGAGAAAATCCCTCCTTAGTTCTAGGTTGCTTCTCTCCTTGGTGAGTTTCCATCCGTTGCTTCTTGTCCTACCTTCGGGAGCTTTGGAGCAGGGGTGGGTTCTAATTTTTTTTACTACCGGTTCTGTGGGCGTGACTTATTTTGTGGGTGTGGCTTGGAGGTCATGTGACTAGGTGGGCGTGGCTAGCTGGTCAGAGTCATTCCTGGAAGGTCCTCGCACTTACGACCAGTCCTCACACTTACGACCCGAGTCATTTGTTTGCTTTTAACACTGATCAGCTTTAGGGCGGCCCTTTGAAGCCCCCCCGGCAAGAGTTTAAACAGTTTTTTTCCCTCTAGCCATCAGCTGGGACTCAGGAGGCAGCAATACATTGGGGGTGGGACCAAATAAAAGGTAAGAATAACGGGGGTGGGGGGTGGGAGGGCGGGGGGGGAGAACCGGTTTGGGGACGTCATATCGTCACCGTTACCGGCTCTGCCGAACCGGACCGAACCGGGAGGAACCCACCACTGCTTTGGAGGATAAGTTGACGACCTCATCTTGATCTGCTGCCCATCTTGGACCAACCAGATGTTTGCACCTGGACCAGGGGGTTACAATGAGAAGCATCACCGCAGTGAAAAACCAACCTTGATCTGACTAGACATGGCAGCAAAAGAAGCTTGCTGAAGAACGTCAAAAATTAAAAGAGGAAAAGCTTTTGCTGTTTCCTAGGCAACTGCCTACCATCTGGGAAAAGGTTCCAGAGCTTTGAGATAAATATTTCCGGATATTTTCTAGAGCATTAGCTGCTGTTCATCTGTTGCGAGGATGTTAAGCCTTAATTTATTTTTGCTACAATTTCATCCCGGAATCAGCCACGTGTTCCGTCTTGTGCCCTTTAATTAAAAACATAAATCCTCATTTAAAACTGCAGTGGCTGAATTCATATAGCAATGCTTGCATAATTAAACAAACCATGTTAGGGCTTGGATGCAGTGCCCGGGCACTATTCAGACAACCGGTGGAGTCAGTTCAGTTGCAAACCTAGCAACCGCTTTTCCACAAATAAAAGTTGGTTTGTTTTAACTTGAATTAATTTGCATTGTGTGTGTGTGCATTTCAGCTGCCACAACAAAGAGGTTTTGTTTTCCAAAGCACCTGAAGGCAAGGCAAGCAACAACGGATGGCAACTCGTCAAGGAGAGAAGCAACCTGGAATTAAGGAGAAACTTCCTAACAGTGAGGACAATTAACCAGTGGAACAGCTTGCCACCAGAAATCGTGGATGCTCCATCACTGGGAGTTTTTAAGAAGAGACTGGACAGTCGTTTGTCTGAAATGGTATAGAGTCTCCTGCTTAAGCAGAGGGTTGTACTCGAAGACCCCCACTGCCCCTGCCAACTCTATTATTCTGTTAATTACCTAATTTTTTGGTCACTATATGTTCCCCTAATCACCTTCGTTGCTCTTCTTTGCACTTTCTGGAGTCTCAACATCTTTTTATATCGTCGTGGTGACCAAAACTGGATGCAGGACTCCAAGTGTGGCCTTAACAAGGCATGATAAATCGATATTAACACTCCACTTGATCTTGATTCTATCCTTCTGGTTTTGTTTTGTTTTTAATTTGATTTATATGCTGCCCTTCTCCGGAGACTCAGGGCGGCTTACAATGCGTTAAGCAATAGCCTTCATCCTTTTGTATTTTTATACAAAGTCAGCTTATTGCCCCCACAATCCGGGTCCTCAATTTACCTACCTTAGAAAGGATGGAAGGCTGAGTCAACCTTGAGCCTGGCGAGATTCGAACCTGCAGTAATTGCAGGCAGCTGGTCTTAATAACAGGGTGCCTTAGACCGCTGTACTACCAAGGCTGTTAATGCAGCCGAGAACAGTGTTGGCTTTTTTGGCGGCTGCCCCACACTGCTGCCTCCTGTTGAAGTGATTGTCTCCAAGGTCTCCCAAGATCCCTCTCCCAGTTACTACCACTGAGCCAGGTACCACCTATTCCACACCTGTGCATTTATTTGAATGACAGAAATGCCTAACAATTCCCGCAGGTAGAAACGGAGCTCCCTTTTTTTCCTTTAGTGACTAGGTTTCGACATTGTTCTCCGGGACTCTGGCTCAAAAAGACAATCAAATTTCTCATCTTCCGGGCGTGATACGAGGACAGGATGTCCGAGAAAGACGCAAACTTCAGCGTCGTCTTCTGAAGCACCAAGTCTCCATCAGGCAGAGGATCATTTTTGAAAACATCAGGCCGATGACTAGACCCACCAGCACCCAGGCCCCTTTGGATAAGACCAAAAAGAGGGTCTCCCTTAACGCTTGGGGGTCTAGATTCAGCTTGGCCTGCACCATCTCGAACAGCAGGGAGGGACCCTCCCAGCAACAGAGATCCACCTCCGCGTTCCTCGAAGGAGAACGGCTCCAACTGCTCTTCCAGGCACAGGATCTCGTTCTCCTGCACGTCGCAGATCTTCTGGAGTTGATCCATGGTGCTCCTCAGCTCGGCAGACTGCTTCTTCTGGTCCGCGTAGCGCAGCTCGGCCGTTTCGATCGCCCCTTCCAACTGTCCGAAGTACCCCACGATTTGCTCCAAGACTTGCTTCATACGCGACATGTTCTGGTCTCGACTAGCTCGGTAATCCTGAAACCGGATGAGGTCGTGGGAGACCGCCTGGATTTCGGAGAGGAGGACCTTGTTGGTCTCGGCCAACGTCTGGTTTTGGGCCTCCAGAGCCGCCCGCGTGTCTTCCCGTTCTCGGAGCAGCTCCCGAAGTTCTTTCTCTTCCTTTTCCAAGACCTTCACCATGCTTGTCAAGCAATCGATTCTCTCTTCCAAGTTCTTGTTCTCCTTCTTAATGCCCTCGATTTCTATCATGATCTTCTGATTTTCAGCCTCACGGTTGGCCACTCTCTCTTTTAGGGTACCGATCTCCTTCTTTAAGCTCTCCTGAGTGGACGTCGGAAGGGTCTCTGCAGTTTTCTTCATGGTGTTGGCGAAAGGGCTGAAATTCAGCTCCGTTCCTGTGAGTTCTCTGCCGAGGAACAAGCAAAGGGAGAGTAATAAGCCAGCATCAAATATCAATAGCCCTTAGACTTATATACCGCTTCACAGTGCTCTCCAGCCCTCTCTAAGCGGTTTACTCTAAGCGGTTTAATGCTGACTAAAAGACGTCAAATCGATATATTCTTCGGAATCGGGCCACCGCATCATCCAAGATTTGATTTTGATTTGATTTTATTGAATTTGTATACCGCCCTACTCCCGAAGGACTCAGGGCGGTGAACAGCCATAGAATAAAACATATAAATACAAAATTTAAAATAGAAATAAAACAAATTAAATAATTTGGCTGAACAAATTTAAAACCCCAATAATTTAAAACCAAATTTAAAATTCCCATTTAAAAAGGGGAAAATTTAGGTCAGGCGAGCTTGATGAAATAAGAACGTCTTAAGCGCGCGACGGAAGGTACGCAGATCCGGGATCCTCCGTATCTCCGGGGGGAGCTCATTCCAGATGGCAGGTGCCCCCACAGAGAAGCCTCTCCCCCTGGGGGCCGCCAGTCGACATTGTTTGGCCGACGGCACCCGGAGGAGCCCCTCTCTATGGGAGCGTACTGGTCGGTGGGAGGCTACTGGTGGCAGAAGGCGGTCTCGTAAGTACCCCGGTCCTAAGCCATGGAGCGCTCTAAAGATGGTAACCAAAACCTTGAAGCGCACTCGGAAAACCACCGGGAGCCAGTGCAGCTCGCGCAGGAGAGGCGTTACATGGGAGCGCCACGTTGCTCCCGTCACCACCGAGTGACGGGATTCCCGATGAGATGCTTGTTTATTGTGGAGATCAGAGAAACCATCTAATTTTTGACTACTCACCGAATGGATCCTCAATTCCCACGAGAGAAATGGCCTCCCTCACACAGCCCAGCACCAACCACAGCAGAGGCTGAAACCAACTGTCAGAAGATGCCTCACGGTTGACATCACAATGCAGGCTCCGTCACACAAAGGAAACACACACTCTCACACTCCACTCCTGGCAGTGAGCATTTCAGCACAGAGTCCATACTTGTTGGCAGCCACGCACTGAAGACTAGGCCATGATTAAGTTGATTGGAATTTAGGATAATAACCTTTTAAAAGGGGGCTTATAATTGAAAAGATAAGGGGAGAATCCAGATACAGAGGAACAGAGTTGGAAGGGACCTTGGAGGTCATCTAGTCCAACCCCTTATCCAAGCAGGAAATCCTACACCGTTTCTGACAGATGGCAGTCCAGTCTCTTCTTGAAAGCCTCCAGGGATGAAGCTCCCACAACTTCTGAAGGCAACTTCTGCTCCATTGGTTGATTGTTCTCACTGTCGGAAAATTCCTCCTTATTTCCAGGTTGAATCTCTCCTTGGTCAGTTTCCATCCATTATTCCTTGTCTGGCCTTCGGGGGCCTTGGAGAATAGCTTGACCCCCTTCCTCCTCTCTGTGGCAGCCCCTCAAATATTGGAAGATGCCCTCCTGTCTCCCCTGATCCTTCTCTTCACTAGACTAGCCAGGCCCAGTTCCTGCAACCATACATCATATTGTCTTTGTGTTTTTAATAGGCTGTACACCTCCCTGAGTCCTTCGGGAGAAGGGCGGTATAGAAATAAAATTATTTATCTATCTATCTATCTATCTATCTATCTATCTATCTATCTATCTATCTCTCTCTCTCTCTCTCTCTCTCTCTCTCTCTCTCTCTCTATCTCTCTCTCTCTCTCTCTCTCTCTCTCTCTCTCTCTCTCTCTCTCTCTCTCTCTCTCTCTCTCTCTATCTATCTATCTATCTATCTATCTATCATCTATAATGTTTTAGCCTCCAGTCCCCTCATCATCCTGGTTGCTCTTCTCTGCATTCTTTCTAGACTCTCAACATCTTTTTTTTATAGTGTGGTGACCAAAACTGTGGTCTTACTAAGGCTTTTGGGGGGGCTCAATCCATAACATTGAGCCCACCCAAAAAGAACTACACACTCCAGAAAATACACAGTAAAATAAAAAGCCACATAAATTTAATATTCACACAAAGCCCGTGCTGGAAACAAAGCAAAATAAAACCAAAAATAAAAAAATAACTCAAATTTGTTTGTTTATATTTCACATTTCTCCATCACGTTTGGTCTATCTAGACCTAGAGAAAAGAAGTGGTGTTTTTTTCTAGAAGTCTCTGTGTGCGCGCGTCTCTTGTGTTGCAGGATTGCATCCCTCCCTGTCATTTATAATAGCTTCTCCTTTGTTAAGAGAGTAGCATATTCTCAGTGTGTCTCTTTGTCTACCCAGAGAAAGAAAGAAACATAAATTTTTAATATGGCTACATACGTTTCCACATTCAGGAATAGAGGTTTTCGCAGCTCTAGACACCAGCCACCAGCTCTTAAAGTTGGAAACTTTATTTTAAAGTATTTTATTTTTATATATAATATAATAATATAGACGGATTTATATATAATATGTCTATATCTATCTATCTATCTATCTGTCTATCTATCTATCTCTATTATATCTATGTCTCTGTCTCTATGACTGTCTGTCTGTCTTTCTATCTGTCTTGTCTATCTATGTCTCTGTTTAGGTCTATCTACCTACCTACTTATGTCTCTCTCTCTCTCTCTCTCTCTCTCTCTCTCCCTCCCTCCCTCCCTCCCTCCAATCTGTCTATCTATGTCTCTGTCTGTCTGTCTGTCTATCTGTCTGTCTGTCTCTCTCTCTCTCTCTCTATCTATCTAATCTGTCTATGTATCTATCTATCTACCTACCTACCTACGTCTCTATCTAATCTATATATCTCTCTCTCTTTCTCTCTATCTCTATCTAATCTATCCTCTATCTATGTCTCTATCTATCTATCTCTCTATCTAATCTCTCTCATCTATCAATGTCTCAATTAGATAATCTATCTGTCTATCTATGTCTCTATCTATCTGTCTTGTCTATCTATCTACCTATCTATGTCTATCTAATCAATCTATCTGTCTGTCTGTCTGTCTGTCTATGTCACTATCTATGTATTATATATATATGTAAAAAGTTAAAATCTCAGGTGTTTTCCCGCGTCATTAAAAGTCTGTTAGTTAAAATGCTTAAAATCTTAAAATCCTGGCTAAAATCCCAGCTCAAAATCCTCTCTCTCTCTCTCTCTATATATATATATATATATAATATCCATCCATCCATCTATCTATCTAATCTATCTACACACACACACACACACACACACAAATATAACGGTAGTTATTTTAAATAACACCAGTATATCAAAGAAGATAATCTCCCTGTCAGGTTTCTAAATGAATATGTCGGCAGCATGGATTAATTCATTCCTTTTCTTCTTATTGCTCTTTTGCATTTGTATTTGAGAGTGGTTTAGAGCAGTATTTAAGGCATCTTAATTCAGTAAATAAATGAATAAATAAGTGAATAAATATTCTCAACCTTGGCAACTTTCATATGTGTGAACTACAACTTCCACAATTCCTCAGCCAGCACGGATGGACTTCAACTCCCAGAATTCCCACGCCAGCATGTTGGCTGGGGAATTCTGGGAGCTGAGGTCCACACAGCTTAAAAGCGGTCGAGGTTGAGAAACGCCAGTTTACAAGAAGAACGTCAGTCCCTGGTTGACCTGCTTAGCGTACAAAACTAATTGGAAGGGAGACCACTAAGAAATTTTGAAGACTGTAGAATACGAAGACGGACAGAAAACAACAAATTGATTCAACTGTAAAGTCTCAAGCTCTATTGTTTATTTAAACTACATCTGTTACTGGGGGGGATCTGTCCAAAGTTTTCTAGTACTGAACAGAAACATGGAGTGGTATCGGAGGTGCTGTCCAGCATTATTCAGAAAAATAATGTACACGACAGCGACGGGAACTGCGGAAAATGTAAAGATTCTGCTTGAAAACGGAAGGTTTAATTCCACGGAACTGACAATGGTGTGAATGTGCAGTAAACTTGGGGGAAAAAAATATCAGTCCCTCGGCTCTGAAATTGGCCAAAAGAGAGGATAGTAGAAAAATTAATGTGGCTGCCGCAACCGACTTTTTGCATGAAATTTTAATGCCCTTCTAAATGCAGAATGTGGGTTAGAGTCCTGACATAGCATGGTTAACCTGATTGTGAGTTCATGCGTTGCTTCTTTGGTCACAATGAAGGAAAGAGGCTGCATTCACACCAAGCCCATGCTGGGAAACAAAGCAAAAATAAATCCAAATTTAAAAAATAATAATAACGCAAGTTTGTTCATTTATATTTCATATTTTTCAACCACCCGTCTCCATCAAATTTGGTCTGTCGTGTGAATGGGTTACGTTTGTTGTGCGAATATAGCTGGGAGCAGGGAGGAGGTCGGAGAATTGCAACTATGAGAAGCCTACATTTTGTGCATGAAAGAAGCCGGAAAAAAAACTTTCCTTCACCCAGAGCCACAAGGTCGTTTGTGAGGTTTAAAGGGGTGTATTGTGTGAAAACAGGCGTTTTGGCTTCTGGATCAGAGGTTATTTATTGCATAGGGCAAATCCAAGGCATGCTGGTTTAGTTCACAAAACATGGCTTAGTTTGATTCTGGATTCATGTCGTGGAGATAAATTTACTATAAAGTTTATCCATCAACAACAAGGTGGGGAAAAAACAGAAGTCTAAAGATGTCCTAAGTAAGGGAAATATTAGCGCAGTTTTCTCCATCTTGGAGAAGGTGCCAAGGTGAACTTGGGTGGACTTCAACTCCCAGAATTCCCCAGCCAGCCTGGTATGGACAATTATAACAAAAACAGGAGCATCGTTTTCTGAAACTTTTGCATACAACTCCATAGACATATAGATCTATGATAGAAAGAGAGGTAGATAGACAGAAAAAACAGATATGGATCGACAAATAGATATGAATAGATATATCCAAGTAGAAAGACAGATGATAGATAGATATAAATGGATGGATGATAGATACATGGATGGATGGATGGATGGGTGGGTGGATGATGGATGGGTGGATGATAAATAGATATAGACAGAAGATAGATAGATAAATGGATGGATGGATGGATGATAGATCTAGACAATAGATAGATAGCTAGATGGATGGATGGATGATAGGTAGATAGATATAGACAAGAGATGGATGGATGGATGGATGATAGATGATAAACAGATGGATGGATGATAGGTAGGTAGGTAGATGATAAACGGATGGTTGGATGGATGATAAACATATAGATGGATGGATGGATGATAGATAGATGATAAACATGGATGGATGGATAGGAATAAGTAGAAAGATGAATAGATATATACTAGTAGAAAGATGATAAAGGGATGGATGGATGGATGATAGATGATAAACATATAGATGGATGGATGGATGGATGATAGATTATAGACAGAAGATGGATGGATGATGATAAAAAGATATAGATGGATGGATGGATGGATGGATAGATAGGAATAAGTAGAAAGATATGAATAGCTATATACTAGTAGAAAGATGATAAAGGGATGGATGGATGGATGATAGATGATAAACAGATGTAGCTGGATGGACAGATGATGGATAGATAGATATAGACGAGATGGATGGATGGATGGATGATAGAAGAAATGGATGGATGGATAGATAGGAATAAGTAGAAAGATATGAATAGCTGTACACTAGTAGAAAGATGATAGAGGATGGATGGATGGATGATAGATGATAAACAGATGTAGCTGGATGAATGGATGATAGATAGATATAGACAAGAGATGGATGGATGGATGGATGATAGAAAGATGATAGATGATAAATGGATGGATGAATAGATAGATAGAATAAGTAGAAAGATATGCATAGCTATATACTAGTAGAAAGATGATAAAGGGATGGATGGATGGATGATAGATGATAAACAGATGTAGCTGGATGGATGATGGATAGATAGATATAGACAAGAGATGGATGGATGGATGATAGATAGATGATGGATGAATGGATGGATAGATAGGAATAAGTAGAAAGATATACATAGCTATATACTAGTAGAAAGATGATGGATGGATGGATGGTAGATGATAAATGGGAACAGGTAGAAAGATATGGATAGATGATAGAGAGTGACAAGAGCGACAGATTTCACATTGTCTTTTCTTTTTCTTTCCCCCCCTTTTTTTCCTTTGTCCTGTCCCATTACCTAAAGTCAGGGGGGAAAAAACCCCCAAATAATAGAAATGTTGTGATCCTGGCTGCGATTGGATGGAAGTTGCATGCAGTCGTGACTCGGCAACAGTGAGGCTGCAGAATCAGCTAGGAAGAGCAGCAAAGTTATGCCCAACTGGATTGACCGAGGGCTACACACACACAATCACACAATCACACCCCCATATCGAACATCCCTTGGTCTCTCTTTTTTTTTTTTAACCATCCTTAACCCTGTAGCGCAAGAGGGACTAGCGCCTTGAGCGAGAAGGCAGAGCCCTTCCTTCCTCCCTCCCACCCACCCCCAGCCATCCAAAATGGTACACTCCATCTCTCTCTCTTTCTCTATGCTCCCCCCCCCCAAGTGCAGATGCAAAGTGTCACGGTCCGCGGCCAGCCTTCCTTCCTTCCCCACCCAACCCCGCCAACTGTAATGGTACGATCCGATCTGCAGCATCCCCCCCATCTTTCTGAGTGGACCGACCCACCCCTCCTTTTTTTTTTTTCTTCCTTCCCCGGGGACCGCGGGTGGGGGGGGGTGAGAAAGGAGCCTGTCTCGGCTTGACCCTCAGCAGAGCCGCTCCCCACACTAAGGAATCGCCGCCTTGCAAAAAGTCCCGTCCCCCAGCCGGGAACTACCCGGGCTCAGCATCCTCAGCCGGCGCGGAGAGCATCCTTCCAGCCGGCCGGGCAAGGAAAGGGTTAAAAAAGGGTTGCAAATTCACCTCCTCCCCTCTTGCGCCTGCGCACTGGCGGCGCTCCCCCCCTCCCCTTCAGCATCCTGGCTGGGTGGGGCCGCTTTCACTGTCGCAGCCCCCCCCCCTCCCGCCGCCGCCCAGACTGGCTTAGGACTCGCTGGGGCTGCGCTTGGTAGATTTGGGTGGGTGGGCTACCTAGAGAGGCCTAGAGCTCTCCCCCTTTGCCTTGCTTCTCTCTGCCTTGCAGGGTTTGGAGAGGGGAGGGGGTCTCTGACTTGCTTGCCTGCCTGCCCCTCCCTCCCTCCTTCCCTCCCTTACCCCTGATGGAGGGTTAGCATCCCCATTAATTTGAGGAGGGGGTCCTTTTTTGGGGGGGTTGGCTTTTTTTGCCTTTCTGCAGCATCTTCCCAAGGCTTGATTTGGGGAGGGGGGCGTTGGAGCTTGGGAAAGAAAGAAAGAACGAAAGAACGAAAGAAAGAAAGAACGAAAGGAAGAAAGAACGAAAGAAAGAAAGAAAAGGGGAGGGGGTTTGGGCTTGCCCGGTTTAGGGGTCTTTGGAGTCTGGAGTGGGGGGGGTTGGTGGGGGGTCTTTGGAGAGCAGAGGGGGACGGGGAGGGGGGTCTTCATTCATTGTCTGTCTTTAGAAGAGGGGTGGGGGGAGCGAAGGCTTGGACCGTGGCGGGGGAGCGAGGGCAGGACCCCACGGCCGAGATGGCGTGGCCGTGCATCAGCCGGGCGTGTTGCATTGCCCGTTTCTGGAACCAGCTGGACAAAGCCGACATCGCTGTGCCTTTGGTCTTCACCAAGTACTCCGAAGCCACCGAGCTGCCCGCCACTCAGGTGGTTTTCCAGCAGCAGCAGCAGCAGCCGACGCGTCCCTTGCCCTCGGCTATCGACATCCAGCCGGCTGGCCTCAGCAGCGACTACCATGCCCACGCCAGGCCCGCCTCGGCTGTGGACCATGGGCCGGCTGCCCCGCCGGGTCCTTCTTCTCGCGCGCCCAAAGAAACACCCATGGCGGACTCGGTGATGCGAGAAGATTTCAAAGCGTGGAAAGTCCAAGGACCGGAGCCGAGCTGCAAGCCCAAAAACGAGTTCCAGCCTTCGGACCAGCCCTTTGCAAACCAGAGCCAGTACCAGAAGGACTTCCGTCCTTGGCCCATCCCCAAGCGTGGAGACCACCCGTGGATCCCCAAACAGATGGCCATCCCGGCCGTAGAGCTGGACAAAGGAACCAAGGAACCAAGGTCCAGCAGCTGGGAGAGAAGAAGTAAATCTCAGATCGGCTACGACCGGTCGGAGCAAAAGAAGGAGGAGGCCGTGGCGGCCAAGCCCGCCCCAGAAGAAAGGGCAACCAAGACCAAAAAGAAGGCCCAACAACCTGAAGACCAAGCTCGGCCTCCCCACCAGCAGCCGGGACCTTCGGGGACCCAGGAAGGCGGGAAAGGACGAGCGGTGGTCGATGCCCTCAACCGGCAGATCAAGGAGGAAGTTACGGCCAGGGTGTCTACCTCCTGTTACAGGTGAGGCCTCCAAAATTGCATGGCGGGAGGTCAAGGGATGGCTTGGGTTTCCCCCACTATGGAAGAAAACCATCTCTGTTTACAGATCTGGGACCTGAGACCCCATATACGGGCCTGGTAACTCAGCAGACTAAAAGCATTGTGATTAACACCAGCTGTCTGCAATTACTGTAAGTTCGAATCTCCCCAGGCTCAAGGTTGACTCAGCCTTCCATCCTTTCTAAGGTGGGTAAATTGAGGATTCAGTTGTGGGGGCAATAAGCTGACTTTGTATAAAATATACAAAAGTATGAAGGCTATTGCTTAACGCATTGTAAGCCGCCCTGAGTCTCCGGAGAAGGGCAGCATATAAATCAAATTTAGATAGATAGATAGATAGATAGATAGATAGATAGATAGATAGATAGATGATAGACAGACAGACAGACAGACAGACAGACAGACAGATAGATAGATAGATGATAGACAGACAGACAGACAGACAGACAGACAGACAGACAGATAGATAGATAGATAGATAGATAGATAGATAGATAGATATACAGGTAGGTGGTCCTGGACTTACAACCACAAAGGTGTTTTATTTTCCAAGAGGCAACTGGACTTTGGGTTTTTTTTAATAATAATAATAATAATAATAATAATAATAATAACAACAACAACAACAACAACAACAACAACAACTTTATTGTCATTGTATGTGTATACACAGTATACAACAAAATTTCACTTAACACCCAAAGACCAGGTCCAACACACCTAACAATTTTTTTTTGAAGACGTTTCACTTCTCACCCGAGAAGCTTCTTCAGCTCTGACTGGATGGTGAAGGATGGAAGGGTTGATACTCCTTGCAGACAGCTGGTCGTTTGCATCCTTTTAGAGCAGTGTTTCTCAACCTTGGAAGCTTGAAGATGGGTGGACTGGATTCTGGGAGTTGAAGTCCACCCATCTTCAAGCTTCCAAGGTTGAGAAACAGAGGGTCGTTGAGGCCACTTGGAGGTTTACCTCAGGGTCACCTGAGTGGTGTAAATGGGTGTGAGGCCACCTTGGAAGTGCTGAAAGGAGCTGCGTTGTGGAGCTCCAAGTGGCCTCAACGACGCTCAATGAAAGCAAATGACCAGCTGTCTGCAAGGAGCATCAATCCTTCCATCCTCCACCATCCAGTCAGAACTGAAGAAGCTTCTGGGATGAGAAGCGAAACGTCTTCAAAAGAAAAAAAAAACAGAAAGTCCAGTCGCCTCTTGGAAAAAAAAGCACCGATGATAGAGAATCTCCATAGAAACCATTTTGTTTACTGACCATTCGAAGTTAAAAGGGCACTGAAAATATAGTTATGGTCACACTTTGTGACCGTCCCCATGGTCACGTGATTAAAATTCAGACGCTTGGCCAACTGACTCGTATTCACGACGGCCGCAGTGTCCCCCGGGAGTGTGTGTGTGTGTGTCACGCGATCCCCTTTAGCGACCGTCTGACAAAGCCATCGTCCCGCGAGGAAGCCAGATTCACTTAACAACCGAGTTGGCTCACTCCACAACTGCCAGCGATTCAACTTAGCAACGGCGGCGAGAAAGGTAGTACAATGGGGGCCGGACTCATTTAACAAACGTCTCGCTTAGCGACAGAAATGGACAGGGCTCCATTTTGGTCATAAGTCGAGGACTACTGGAACCTTAAGTTTAATTGTCCAGGGGTGATAGGCAGGTGTCAACTCGCCTTCAAATTCTCATGCGGCCACAGTGGTTTAGCTACTTGGGCTGAAGAAGTGCGGATTTCTACAAGAACCCAGCATGGAAACCTCTTAAGATATTTGGTGTGAATTTAGTTTACCTGGGATGACTTTATGGGCGGGGAAACAGGTATATATATTGAAAAAGGAGATTGGAATGTTTTTTTGACTGCTGTAATCCAGCAACCTTCTGTGCTTTTGCAGAATTGCAAGATTTCTTAACAGATATGAAAACGTGCATCCCTTTCCATTTTTTTTTTTTTAACGCTGGCTGCTGATTTGATTTGAACCATATTCAGCAAGCAAGGAAGACAATTTCAAATGTGTAAGTGCACCTGACTCCCAACCCCCCCCCCCACACACACATCAAATTTTCCAATTTTAAACAAGTCGGAATGACTTGAAAAACTTCTTTAAGTTGACCTGTTGAAAAAGATTTTTCACTAGACCTAGATGTGAAGTTTCCGAAAGATGCCCTAATTAATTCATGAGCCATGAGCCGAATTTCAAAAGAAATACAGTCGTTTATTAGGAGCACCATTTCGGCAATATTCGGATGCAGTTAGAACTAATCCCACGTAGATTTACATTCCCCTATGACCCTGTCTCTCCCCTCCTCTCTGGCCATGTCATAAATCACATTTTCCAATTAACCACTTTGGCTGGCTGTGAAATCCAACACCCTCCGACTAATTGCGGTCAGGAAGAATGTATGGAATGCAGCTTCAGTTAGGGAAATCAATCCGCTCTATCGGTTCTCCCTCCTTCCTGCTCATGGCAACTTGAAAGCTTTGCAAGTTGACACTAGACTTAGAATAACTCTATTGTCGCTTTAAATGTTCATTAAAATGAAATTTCGCTGCATACAGCTCCCAAAGGATTAACCCCACCAATATATGCTATGTAAACATGACAAAAATATAAACAAACAAACAAATAAATAAATAAATATGCCTATATCCGCGTACGATGACCGTCGCGAGCAAAATTTCCATAAAAATGTAGTTGAGTTTTCCAAATTCAGCCGTTAGAAATCTTCGCCTTTTTTGGCAGCGCTGAATATGAATTTTTTCAAATTGTTAATATGTTCATCCCAGATTCTTCACACCTTTTAATCCTGCTACTGAGTTCCATTCACAATAAAAACAAAAATTATGACGGCTGGTTTAGGAGAGAAGCGGTAATTGTTAAGTGTACCAAGTCAACTTAAGCCACTCCTTGCCTAATTAAACCCACAATCTTTATTTTTATTTTTTGGGGGGGTTGGTTTTAGAATCCCATTATACGACCCAGCCCACTTAGACCCCAGGTGAAGTACAATATAAACAAGAATTAAACCAACCAAATTTCCGATGGGGGCTTTCTAAGTTCTTTCATTAGCTTCAGTCGTGTAAATCGATGGTTATGGAACCTGTTGTGAGAATGAATGTTAATTTAGAAGGCCTAAAACCGGGGGTGGGCATCAAAAATTTTAGCAAATGCCTAGTTGCTGGGTGGGCGTGGCCATGGTGGGTGTGACCTAGCCGGCTTCCTGCACCATGGCCGGGGGAGGGGCATTTTTGCCCTCCCCAGGCTCCGGAGGCTTTCCTCAAGCTTCCAGGAGGGTGAAAACAACCTCCCCAGGCTCCGGAGGCCCTCTGGAGGCAGGAAATGAGCCTGTTTCCGGCCTTCTTGAACTTCCAGTAGGTCTGTTTTTCACCCTTCCCAAGCCTCCGTGCCCGCCCTGCACTTAGCTGCATCCAAAACGGGCCGCGTGGGGACTCCTGGAGTGGGCGGGGCGGGATGGGCGGGGCCAGCCAGGAGTGGGATTTGGGGGTTCCTCCGAACTGCACAGAATCTTAGCTAGAGGTTCTCCCAAACCCTCAGGAGCCCAGCCCTGCCTAAAACCAGTAATTCAATCCAGTGTTTCTCAACTTCAACCCCAAGATGTCTGGATGCTGCTTTTTAGGAAAAGGTGAGGATTAGGTTGCCGTGGAATTCCGTCATGCAATATATGTATTTCCATGAAGATAGCTCTGCAGATTAAGTGGATGACTTGGCTATAGTTGTTTAAGGAGATCCATTCAGAAGGTCCGATTGTGTTCTGGCTGTAATTTCAGAATTATTTCCTATACCACCTGGAGGAACCTGCTAGTTGCAAGGCCTTCGCAAAGCTGCTTGATAACCAGGAGTGAAGTTAAAAAGTTTACTTGAGAATTTTATTTTTGCTGTCGGATTTCAGGGCAGGAAATCCTGGGCTTGGAACACAAGGCCACTTGTGTCTCGGGCGACTGGAAATTGGCATCCAGAAATCTAAATGGAGACGGTTTGGATAAAATTTGCAAAGGGAGGAAAATGGCCCTTTGCCGGGGGGTCTTTGGGCCAGTCCCTCTCTCTCAGACGAGTCCACCTCACAGGGTTGTTGTTGTTGTGGGGAAAATAGGAGGAGAGGATTTGGTTGGATAGGTTTGCCGCCTAGAGTTATTTGTAAAAGTTAGAAAAATGAGATACAAATTAGAATAGGTAGGTAGGTAGGTAGGGAGAGACAGACAGAGATGATGTGATGATAGAAAGAGACAGATACATAGACAGAAATAGATGGATGATAGGTAGGTAGGTAGGTAGGTAGGTAGGTAGGTAGGTAGGTGGATGGATGGATGGATGGATGGATGGATGGATGGATGGATGGATGGATGATAGGTAGATGATAGGTAGGTAGATGTTAGATGGATCGATGGATCAATGGATGATAGGTAGAAGATAGATAGATGAAAGATAGATAGATAGATGGATGATAGGTAGAAGATGGATGGATGGATAGATAGATGATAGGTGGATAGGAAGGTAGAAAGGTAGATAGATGATGGATGGATGGATGGATGGATAGATAGGGATAGATAGATGATAAATAGATGAGTAGATGGATGAATGGATAGATGGATGATAGATAGAAGAAAGATAGATGGATAGATAGATAGACAGATGATAGGTAGAAGATGGATGGATGGATGGATGGATGGATGGATGATGGATGGATGGATGATGGATGGATGGATAGATAGATGATAGGTGGATGGGTAGGTAGATAGATGATAGATAGATAGATAGATAGATAGATAGATAGATAGATAGATAGATAGATAGACTCCGTAACCAGATATGGGTCATGTGAAATCCAGCAATCCTGGTGTATATCTGTGGCCCCTTCAAACAGGGCCAGACGTTTTGATTCAGAAGCGACTTTGACGCCCCCGTGGCTCTCCGAAAAGGAGAGGGAAAGAGAACAACT